GCTAGGACAGATTCACATAACAGGTACCTTATCAGGTTTAGAATTCTGGAGCTGGTCTGGACAATGACTGTGAAGAAGTTTTAATTGAGTTAATTTTGACTGCCAAGCATGGGTTACGATAGTACCTAGAGCAGCATGAATCTTTCCATTGGTACTAAATGCGTTAGCTTGAATGGCCACTGGGCTTAGCAAAGAACTGAATACAAGCAGTATCACCTCCCTTTAAACATACCTTTTATCGCTTATCTTCTATTCTTTTTTTTTATTTCTACTTTATTTTTAGTCTCATGAGATCCGATTTTATTGCTTATCTTACCTTGTAAAAAAAAAAAAAAATTCCAGGAAATAAATTTTCAGTAAAACTGACCTAGCTCTCTTGGCAGCCTCGCTGGCTTTCCTACACACATCATGCAACTGTGCATAAGACTGCTGCCAAGAAAAGGGGAGGGAAAAAAAAGAAACAGAGGAAATTACAAACTACAAAAGCTGAAAAGCATTGTTACCCTCTTTTAGAGATGGCTATTTCTGGGCACAATGGCTGCAGTGAGCAATGGTCAACACTGCATTCTGGCCTGGGTGCCACAGTGAGACCCCTATCTCAAAAAAATAAAAAAATAAAAAATAAAAAGAAATGGCTATTTCTGTTACATTTCATTATTTCCCCCAGCAACTTGTTGGTTACTAAACGAGAGTGACTTCTAAATAAAACCAGAGTGTTTATTCAATCCCATCTGGAAACGCTGAGAAGGAACTGCCAAGGCTGGTGAAATCAGGGCTTTACCAGGACAAAGAAGTTGTCATCTCTCAATGATTCATGTAAGATGCGTTTTAAAATTGTTGCATGTGAGACACTTCCAATGATTGCCCTGACAAGGCACCCCAAAATTTGGCATGGTTTTTTTCAGAAAGGACGAGGTCAGTTTGCAGATGAGCTCATTTCTTCATCAGCAATATCAGCTGATACACTCTGAGAACCTCCTTCCTAAGATCCAGAAGACTTACATAAGGGGAAATGTTCCAGGAAAAGATTGTGGAGTGAGTGTGTGTGTGTGTGTGTGTGTGTGTTGGAGTTGTTTTTTTTTTTTTTTTCAGACAGGGTCTTGCCCTGTCACCCAGGCCGGAGTGCATTGGTGGAATCACAGCTCACTGCAGCCTTGACTTTCTGGACTCAGATGATCCTCTCACCTCAGCCTCCGCCTGGGTAGTTGGGACTACAGGTGTGGGCCACTAGGCTCAGCTAACTTTATTTTATATTTTTCGTAGTGATGGGATTTCACCATGTATTTCAGGCTGGTCTCAAACTCCTGGGCTCAAGCAATCTGCTGGCCTCAGCCTCCCAAAGCACTGGGATTATAGGCATGAGGCACTGCACCTGGCCTAGGATAAGGTTTTAACATGTCGCCATCTGGTGGGTTCCATGCAAGGTGGGTTTTCTTTTTCTTTCTTTCTTTTTTTTCTTTTTTTTTTTTTTTTTTTTGAGGTGGAGTCTTGCTGTCACCAGGCTGGAGTGCAGTGGTGCCATCTTGGCTCACTGCAACCTCCACCTCCTGGGTTCAAGCGATTCTCCTGCCTCACCCTCCTGAGTAGCTGGGATTACAGGTGCCTGCCACCTTGTCCAGCTATTTTTTGTATTTTTAGTAGAAACAGGGTTTCACCATCTTAGCCTGGCTTGTCTCGAACTCCTGACCTTGTGATCCACCTGCCTCGGGCTCTCAAAGTGCTGGGATTATAGGCGTGAGCTACCAGGCCTGGCCCAAGATGGGGTTTCAAAGGATTTGTCTCATTAAAGATGAAACTCTACCTTCTTGCAAGTCTTTTTTCAAATGCAACTTTTCAAGAAGCCTACCTTGACCACATTATTTAAGATTGTGATTCATCCTCCCACTCCTAATCTCTTAATCCTGCTTGATTTTTATTATTTTTTAATGTATAAATCTTTTTTTTTTTTTTTAAACAGAGTCTTGCTTAGTCACCAGGCACCTGGCTGGTGTGCAGTGGCACAATCTCGGCTCACTGCAACCTCCACCTCCTGGGTTCAAGGAATTCTCCTGCCTTAGCAGGAGTGCACCGCAGACTACAGGCGTGCACCACCATGCCCAGCTAATTTTTGCATTTTAGTAGAGACAGGGTTTCACCATGTTGGCCAAGATGGTCTCGATCTCTTGATCTCGTGATCCGCCCGCCTTGGTCTCCCAAAGCTGGGATTACAGGTGTGAGCCACCACACCTGGCCCTAATGTATAAATCTTAAGCATACAGGTCAATGAATTCTTGCATATGCATCTACTCATACGATTACCATTCAGATCAAGAAATAGAACCTTTACAGTACTCCAAAAGGCAGCTCTTTCAGGGGCCTTCTGCCAGTCCAGTCTGTTCTATATTTTTCAAAGCACTGTCACCTTTTAAGGTATTTGATTGGCTCATTGGTGTACCCAAGCAACTAGAAAAGTGCCTAACACATAGTAGGCACTCAATAAATACTTGTTGAATGAAAGACTATTATTTTATTTTGAGACAGAATCTCACTCTGTTGCCCAGGCTGGAGTGCAGTGGCACAATCTCAGCTCACTGATTGCCACCTCAGTCTACCAGGTTCAATCAATTCTCCACCTCAGCCACCTTAGTAGCTGGGACCACAGGTGCCCCTCACCAAACTTGGTTAATTTTTGTACATGCCTGTAATCCCACTTTGGGAGGCTGAGGCAGGCGGACCGCTTGAGCTGGGGAGTTCGAGATCAGCCTGGGCAACATAGTGAAACCCTGTCTCTATGAACGAATGAATGAATGAACAAATAAATAAATAAATGCAGGTATCAGAATGGTATTGTGGAGTGGATGCAGGTGTGGATCTAAGTACAGCTATGGATATTGGATACATCCTCATGTGGTCTCTTCTATGTAACATTTTCGTGGACAGGTTGAGCCCTTGGTAGTGGATCTGCAAGGAGGGGATACCCCCTTTTATCTGGAGCCCTCTTTTGATTCCTAGGTTTGCTAGCATTTATCAGGATAGGGGCAGAGTCTTCCTAAATAGCTGCCCTCCTTTGGACTCTGCTATTCCTCACATGCCATAACCCAGTCTTGAGAACCTGGTCACCTTCCATCACTCCCCTCTCCCAGTCAGTTGCATGTTGTGGCTGCTTTGTGCCCTGGCTATCTCTCTTCTGCGGTGTCCCTTGAATTTCCCCCTTTTTACTTCCCCTGGCAACCCCTCCACTGTCCATCTCTGTCCCGGCCTCCCAAGTGATACTCTCATCTTCAGTCTTATCCTTTTGGGACTGTCTTCCTATTATTTTCCCTAAAACACGACCTTGATCACGTTCATGCTCTGATCCTAAATCTTCAATGGTTTGCAGGTGCTACCAAAAGCAAGTCTAAATGTCTTAGCCTTCCGGGCCCCATTTCCTCCCCAGCCTTGGGGCTTACCACTGCACTGCCAGCAGAATGATACCCAGCCTCACCAACAGGCTCCATGTTCTCTTGCGTCCCTACCTTTGTTCTGTCGTTAGCTTCGGAAAATGAGTGCTGAAAGAGACCATCTGGTCCAATCTCACCTTACAAATGAGGAAACTGAGGCACGGACAGATTTGAGTGACTGACCAGCACCCAGTCAGAGATCAAGTTTGACTCATGAAAAGGAAGCCCAGAGCAGACTTGGGGTTGGTATCAGACAAGATCCAACCAGTTGGTCACCCGTTGAATACCCTCTGATCCCTAAAGTTATGAATCATTGAGTCCCATCAGGCATGGTCTCCTGTCGGAAGCCTCTGTGACGACCCAGTTGGGAGTCTGGACGTGAGCCTCTAGGTGACTGGGAATCTGTCTAGGAGTCCTGGCTCCCCTAGCATTTTAAGCAAACTCTAATCTTTGACTTTTCTCTATTCTCATCCCAAAGACTCGGTCCCTAGTAGGGGAGTGGTAAAAGTCTACCCTAGGAGGGTAAAGTCTGTACTGCCTGGGAGGCGCGATTCACCCACTCAGACAGCAGCCAGCAACTAGGCGCTGAGTCCAGAGTTTCCACCTACACCGCGTAGTTCACGTGCGGCACCTTAACTCCTTTTGACGCCAAATCCCAAAAACTTGAGGGCGTTTGGACTCGGCAGAAAGCCTGCTGGCGGCAATTACAGGACACGTTTCTCGAAGCCTTGAGGCGCGGTCTCTTTCTTCACCCTCCGCGCGGCGAACCTTGACGCGCATTCGGTGACCGGTCCCCAAACGTGACTTGGCATCAAGAGGACACAGCTCCCCTTACCGAGGGAGCTCAGGTCCCGGGCGCGCCGCGGCCCCGCCAGCTTTCCGGGCTGGCGCAGTCCTCGACCCGGGGCGACGGCCAAGCCAGCGAGGGCGGCGGGAAAGTGACGCTGGGCTGGAGAGGCGGGGTGGCGAGTGCTGCCCCGAGGGAACCGAGAGCGGCCTCAGCAGCCGGGTCTCAGGCTGGGCGAGGCAAGGGGGTCGCAGGCTGGGCTCGGAATACTGCCGGGGGTGCCCATCTGACTCCAGGACGCACGGAGGGCGTGGGGCAGGGGCTGGATCTGGGCCCGCCCTGGGTCTTGCCGTCCAGCCCCTCTCCGCCCTGGGGAGGGAAGAAGGGAGGGGAGAAGCCCGGGTCCGCCCCCAGCCTCAGCCCTGCCGAGGCTCTGCGGCGGCGGCGGCTGCTGGAGGGAGACGAGAGCACCTCCCGGAGCGGAGAAACCAGTTTGGCCGGTCCCGCCGTGCGGAGGGAGAAGGGCGGCTGCAGAGGAAGGGTGCACGGACGCGGGGCGGGGGAAGGCGGAGGAGCCACTGGCGAGCCGCGAGAGCCTGAGGTGCCGCCGCCAACTGGACACGCTTCCTGGGGCCCCCGGCCAGCCCCCGTGCGCCATGCAGCGCTAGCGCAGCGGCCGGGGCTGGGGCTGGGCGGGTGGTGGCAGTGGCCAGGTGCGCAGCGAGCGTTCGGAGCGGCGCACACCCGGTGGATGCCCCAGCCGGGGCCCAGCGAGCGCCAGGTAAGCAGAGGCTCGGCGCCGGGGCCCCCGACCTCCCCAAGCCCGCTGGCCGGGCAGGGTCCTGCAGGTCCCCTGGCGGCTCCCGCCGCTCTTTGGAGATCCTAGATGAGGTGGCAGCAGCTGTCCGCGCCCTCGGGCTCCCGAGCCCGCACAGGTGGCATTTGGGCGGAGGTGCTAGAAGCCCCCCGTGGCCTCGGGGTCGGCGACGCAAGGCCAGCTGGGCAGGCAGCGCTGCGGAGAGGTCTATGGAGTTTTCACCTGCCTGGAGGAGGAAACTCTCGGGGAGTGTTTGGGTTCTTCGATGGCTAGCTACACACTGTCCGGGGGTTAAGCCAGGCAGGGCTTGCGGCTCCTTGGGGGGTGCCGCTGGTTTCGGTGCGGTGGCCAGCGCCCCTCTGGGAGTCCCCGGTAACCGGCTTCTGCTGGGGCGCTCTTTGGGAGCAGATGCCAAGGTGTCCGAAAAGGACTTGGGGACCAAATGTATCTGACGGCGGCCCACCTGTCGGGAGGGATGGAGGGGTGAGATGGATCTCCTCCCCAGCTCCTGCTGCAGGACTGGGTACGCCCCAGACGTCTTCCGAGCGCTTTATTGTGGGATGGGAGGGGAGGTGATGGGGAAGAGAAACACTGTTTTTCCGGTGACTCTCGGGTCGTGTCCGCCGGCCCCGCTGAGATGGCTGCAGGCATCTCCTTCCCTCGCCAGTTTGATGCCCGACGCTGTCACCTCGCTGTGTGCACGCGGAGGGACAACTTGTTAGGGGGCTCGAGGAGATGTTTCAGGGCATGGCCCAGTGCTTTAACACCCCCCCAACCCCCACTTCTCCTTCTCCCCAAAGTACAAGAAAAGTCCTGAAGTGTCCGCCCAATTTTTACGAGGGAGGCGTGTGCGTGCAGTCCCTGCCGGGGTGGTGGGGGCGGGGGGAGGCTCGGAGCGCAGATCGGTGGCAGCTGTACGGGAGAGACTGGGATGCAGTACAATGCAAAACGGGGAGGAGGGTTGACACGCAAAAGAGGGACTTGGGCCGCGTTTCTGCCCAGTGAGTCCCGGCTCAACCCGACCCGACCCGACCCCCTTGGCCTGCACGCGCGGCCCGTGGGGGGCTGCAAGCCTTTCCTAGGTAGCTCCGGACGCCACCGAGTTCCTCTCCGGGAAACTGGTCTGCCTATTGGCGGGAGAAAAGATTAGCTCCCATCTTCCTGGTTGCATTGCCTTCAAAATTCTACCCCTACCCATGGGAAATTAAAAAAGAAAACACTAGTGGGATGTTTGGCGAACACCCGGCACACAGTAGGTTATCGAGGAAGGTTAACTACTTTCAGGAACAAGAGCTAGGAAAACGACGCGTGATAAAGCCTCCAGGGATAGTGAATGCGAGCCCATATCAATGGGGGACACAGCAGCAAATGTGAAGTAGAAGGCTAACTTTCACCGGCTAAGACATACTTTTGTGTTAAGCCTAAGATGCCATTCATTAATTCTGGGCCTACTGTTGAAGGTTTTATTAAATCCTATTATAAATGGATAGACTGTGCACAAGATGATTAATGCTTATTAGCTGATTACTTTCTGGGGAGAAGTCAGCCTGCCTGCAATTAACTCCTCCGAATTCTCTTAATGATTTTCATTATGTAGTAGAGCTTCCCTTGCTATAATTTTGGGGAAGAATATTAACCACTTTGTTCATTTGGCATTTTCCAGTGGCTGTATTTTAGCAACTTTTAGTGATTCTTTGGGTGGGTTATTTAGGGCCGAACAAGACTCCGTGGTTAATACTGTCCAACACAGATGCCACTTGTGTGAGCTCAGCTCTCTGGCTCCTTTCAAGGTTTTTTCTGGGTTTTAAGGAACGTACACACCTGCGTGCACTTGTTATTACATCTTAGTGATAGAACTGGGAGAGCTGTTGTTTTGTTTGTTTAATAGAGGTTTTAAAATAATGATTTGGTAAAGCAAATGGCTTCGTAAAAAGGAGACTTCAGTAGTAAGGCAAGTTCAGAATTGATTCCACGTTTAATCTGGTTTTCAGTCTAGGGGATCTTAGCTCTAATGGAGTCACTACCAGATCTGGCTGTAGAATATTCCTTTCCTTTCCTTCTGTCTATTCCTCTTTCTTCTTTCTTTCCCTTCATTTTGAAGCAAGGAGTAGTGGAAAACATATGGATTTAGATGTCCACAGATTTCAGTTCTTTTACTTGCTAATTGTATAAGCTTAAGTGAATTCTTAAATTTTCTGAACCCCTGTTTGCTCTTCTGTTGAGGGGGGAAGATATTAATCTCTTTGGATTGTTGAAAGAATTGAACTAGAGAACATATGAATGTTCTTTATACATAGTAGGTGTTTGAATGTTGGTTTCTTTCTTTATTAGACTGCTATCTAAAAATACTATTATTGCATGTATCTGCTGTATTTTTAATATTTTCTTGCCCCTGTAATCCCAGGACTTTGGGAGGCCGAGGCGGGTGGATCACGAGGTCAAGAGATCGAGACCATCCTGGTCAACATGGTGAAACCTCGTCTCTACTAAAAATACAAAAAAAATTAGCTGGGCATGGTGGCACGTGCCTGTAATCCCAGCTACTCGGGAGCCTGAGGCAGGAGAATTGCCTGAACCCAGGAGGCGGAGGTTGTGGTGAGCCGAGATTGCGCCATTGCACTCCAGCCTGGGTAACAAGAGCAAAACTGTCTCAAAAAAAAAAAAAAAAAAAAAAAAAAAAAATCTATATCTATCTATATATTTCTTTTTATTGTCTTACTAATTAAAGTTCCATTTTAGTTTTTCGTAAGCAACCGTCACAGAATGCAGGTAATTCTTGTAACTCCGGAGAGATTTTTACCAGTTACCTTTGCTCTTGAGTGTCAGTCACTGAAAAAGAAGCCAATGCACTCATGTATGCAGGAGAACTTGCTTTTTAGGTACCAGAACATGCTGGTTTTTTAAATTTACAAATTAAATAAATAGAGATAGGACCTTGCTATGTTGCCTATGCTGATCTTAAACTCCTGGCCTCAAGCAGTCCTCCTCCCTTGGCCTCCCAAAATGCTGGGATTACAGGTGTAAGCCACAGCACCCAGCCAGTTACTTGTTTTTTAAGAAAATGAGGCCAGGTGCAATGGCCTATAATCCCAGCACTTTGGGAGGCCAAGGCAGGTGGATTGCTTGAGGCCAGAAGTTTGAGACCAGCCTGGCTAACATGGTGAAACCCCATTTCTACCAAAAATACAAAAATTAGCTGGGCATGATGTACATGCCTGTGATCCCAGCTACTCAGGAGACTGAGACACAAGAATAGCTTGAACTAGTGATGTGGAGGTTGCAGTGAGATCATGCCACTGTACTCTAGCCTGGGCCACAGAGCAAGGCTCTCTCAAAAAAAAAAAAAAAGAGAGAAAATGGGAAACAAAGCTAATATATACATATACACATGTATATATACATGCACATATCTATATACATACATGCACATATATATGCTTTCTAGAATCTTCCTCCACAATGCCAGGTCTTCAGTGACAGAGGACCTCAAAAAGATCTTAGATTACCTATTACTTTTAGCTGGGTACAGGGATGGGGATTCAGGAGTGAGTGAGTTGGTTAACAGAATGAAAAAGATAACCTATCTTCTTTTTATGTTATTAACACTCTTCTGGCAGCAAATTAATTTTTACTTAATAAGTAACAAAATGCCTACAGGCATGAATACAGTTAATCTACTTGAATGTCAACAGACCTGAAAACTTAGAAGATACCTAAAGATACCACAAAGAAAAACTTTCCAGGAGACTAAACTAGAAACAATAATAGAAACAAATTCTCAAAATAAGTCCTTAAGCAACCTAAAAGGTATCTCTTTTTAGAGAGATTTGGGACATAAATTGTTCTGGGGCCAGGCACAGTAACTCACTAAACCTGTCTCTACTAAAAATACAAAAATTAGCTTGGTGTGGTGGCACATGCCTGTAATCCCAGCTACTCAAGAGGCTAAGGCAGCAGAATTGCTTGAACTTGGGAGGCAGAGGTTGCGGTGAGCCAAGATCGTGCCACTGCACTCCAGCCTGGGTGACAGAGCAAGACTCTCTCTCAAAAACAACAACAAAAAACAAACAAAAAAAACCCCTTTTTGTTATCTGCATCTTTAACATCATGTTAGTACTTTCCTTGATACTTATAAATGCATCGCACCTTTAAATAGTCACCCAACCTTTCCACAATGAGAAATATGTTTCATAACTGGTCCCTGCAAGCAGTCCAGAGGCAGCAGTGAAATAGAGGTTGCCAGCCTTGGAGTCCTTTGACCTGGGTTGGAATGCAGGCCTCACAGCTTCCTAGGTGCATAACCTAGGGCAAGTTACTTTGCCTCTTTAGGCTTCAGTTTCCTCATCTGTAAACGGGATAATAACAGTACTGTCTGACAAGGCTGTGTGATGAGTTCCAAATGAGATAGTTTAGGTAGATGGCTTAGCACACAGCTCAGTAAAAGGCAGTCATTAATATGTTGTTGCTATGGCTTTGCAAATATCACTCACCCAGCCATTGCCTTTCTCCTGGGCTGTGAAGGAAACGGGAATCATTCTACAAGTTAGTATTTATTTAAGCAAACATCAGTGCCCATTTGCACCAGGCACTGGAAAGACAGAGTTCCCTAGAGCTGGGTGAGGTTCTGAATCTCCGATCTATACTTTTTCTAAAGCGTCAGAGGACCAGAGTGCTTGTTTGCCTCTTAACCTTGCAGGGGACTTGTGAAGGGCCTGGTTGCTGTCTCACCTGGGTACTGCCCCCTCCTGCGTGGCAGAAGCCCATGGAACGATCCTGAGCCCCCTTACCCCTCATTTCAGTTGGTCTCTTCTCTCCTTTATCCTCCATGCTCCTGTTTTTCTATTTTTAATTTTTGTTTATTTATTTTAGACAGTGTCTTGCTCTGTTGCCCAGGCTGGAGAGCAGACAGGCATGAACATGGCTCACTGCAACCTTGACCTCTTGGGCTCAGGTGATTCTCCCACTTCAGCCTCTCAAGTAGCTGGGACTATAAGTGCATGCCACAGTGCCCAGCTAATTTTTTTTTTTTTTTTTTTTTTTTTTTTTTAGAGACAGGGTCTCACCATGTTGCCCTGGCTTCTCTTGAACTCTTAGGCCTGAGCAGTTTTTCTGCCTGGGCCTCCCAGTATGCTGGGATCACAGGTGTGAAGCACCATGCCTGACCCACATGCCTGTTTTGTTTAATTACTATTCTGTTTAAAACTCAACAGTTTCTGAACCCTGTGGCTTCTTCAAAGGCTAATTGCTCTGTGTGGTTTTCTTAGTGTGGATCCTGGGTAGGCATTGCTAAGGACAGAGAATCTTGGTATAGCTCCTTTCATTCATTCATCTTTAGACTATGCTGGGGAATTACCTCTCGGCTTCATGGAAGCCTGTGGGGTTCACAGAGAGCCTGAGTTGTGTTTTTTCTTCCGCGAGAAAGCAGACCAAAGGCTGGGTGCGGTGGCTCATGCCTATAATCCCAGCTTTGGGAGGCTGAGACTGGTGAATCATGAGGTCAGGAGTTTGAGACCAGCCTGGCCAACATAGTGAAACCTCATCACTACTAAAAAATACAAAAATTAGCCAGTTGTGGTGGCTACTCGGGAGGCTGAGGCAGGAGAATCATTTGAGCCTGGAAATCAGAGGGTGCAGTGAGCCAAGACCACACCATTGTACTCAAGCCTGGGTGACAGAGCGAGAGCCATCTCAAAAAAAAGAAAGCAGATCAAGTATTTGCTCTCTTCCTGCTTGGGACCTTGTCCCTCTTTGCATGGAGGGATGGTTCCCTTAGAACTTCTGGTTCTGAAGATCTGTGTTCTTTATCAGTCTCTCAATGTAGTATATTTGCATTTATTAGGTGACAACTGGGCCTGGAAGCTGTGGTGGGGGTGGGGTGGGAAGCCAGCTCTCAATCTGACATTGACTCCTGAAGGAGAGGGTCACCTGTGTTCTGGGCAGCCTTTCAGTGGCGAAGGCCACCATCCCCCCAGCGTGATTGAGAAGCCTGGCACTTCTGTGTTGAGTACTGTGGAGCCTGACCTTTGGCTAGTAGCTTGGTCTTTATTGACAGGGCTGTGGTTTATAGCTTTGTTACTTTGCTGCTGAGTGGCTTTTGTTCCACCAGAGTTGCGTTTTGTTTGATTTAGTGCAGGTGGTATTTGAAAAGTTTTCTAACCTTTACTGAAAGCGAGTTACACTAGAAAATCCTCTTTGGAAACCCTCAGGCACCAAATGCTGTCCTTCACTTAGATTGGATGCACTGTTTATTTTATAGAGTATGGTGTGATTTGTGTACAAATCCTTATTTTCTCTTCCTGGAACTTAGTAAATTACTGAGATGATCCTGTGAGATTTCTGTATGTGATCTGTAGATCCAGAAGGAACACTTAACATTTTCTATAAGAACAAAGGTAACCCTTTGACTTGGGTGGTTTAAATATTCACTCACTCAGGGAGATGGATAGGTTTTGTATATTTTGTGCTGGAAATTAATGACCCTATCTAAAGATATTGAAAAATAGTGTGAGTCCTCTAAGTCAGGCACTAGCAGCTGCTGTATCAACCTCCACTTTTTTTTTTAATTTTGAGTTAGGGTCTTGAGATATTACCCAGACTGGTCTCGAACTCCTGAGCTCAAGTGATTCTCCCACCTTAGTCTCCTGAATAGTTGGGAATACAGACATGTGCCACTGCACCTAGCAACCTCCAGAACTTTTGATACAATAAGGACTCTAAGTGTGTGAAGTTCATGAGACTACAGAGATTATAAGAATTAAAAGAAAACCTGTGCTGATTTTGGTACCAGTACAACTTTGAGGGGAGGAGAGTTTCCTCATGATCTTGTCTTCTTAGTATAGAAGCTTATTTCATAAGACTTTAAAATTATTATTATTATTTTGAGATGGGGTCTCACTCTGTCACCCAGGCTGGAATGCAGTGCACGATCTCGGCTCTCTGCAACCTCTGCCTCCTGGGTTCAAGCGATTCTTCTGCCTTAGCCTTTTGAGTAGCTGGAATTACAGGGATGGCCACCAGGCCTGGCTAATTTTTGTATTTTTAGTGGAGATGGGGTTTCACTATGTTGGCCAGGCTGGTCTTGAACTTCTGATCTCAGCCACCCACCTCAGCCTCCCAAAATGTTGGGATTACACGCATGAGCCACTGTGCCTGGTCTTTAAAAAGAAAAAAAATAAAATATACCTAACATAAAATTTACCATTTTGATCTTTTTTAAGTGCACAATTCAGTGGCATTAACTACATTCACGTTGTGCAACCATCACTATGACCCACCTTCAGAACTTTTCATCATCTCAAATAGAAACTGTGCCCATGGGCTGGGTGCAGTGGCTTACTTTTGGTAATCCCAGCACTTTGGGAGGCTGAGGCAGGTGGATCGCCTGAGGTCAGGAGTTCGAGACCAGCCTGGCCAACATAGTGAAACCCCGTCTCTACTAAAAATACAAAAAATTACCTGGGTGTGGTGGAGAGCACCTGTAATCCCAGCTACTCGGGAGCCTGAGGCAGGAGAATCACTAGAACCCAGGAGGCGGAGGTTGCAGTGAGCCAAGGTCACACCATTACACTCCAGCCTGGGTGACAAGAGCAAAACTCCATCTCAAAAAAAGAAAAAGAAACTGTGCCCATGAAAGAGTAACTACCCCTTTCTTCCTATTTCCTGGTCCCCATAACCTCTATTCTGAATCTGACTATTCCAAGGTCCCTCATGTTAAGTGGAATCACACAATATTTGCCCTTTTATGACTAGCTTAATTCACTAATGTGATGTCCATAAGGTTCATTCACACTGTAGCATGAGTCAGAATTTCCTTCCTTTTTAAGGCTGAATAATATTCCATTGTATGCACATACCACATTTTGTTTACCCCTTCATCTGTGACAGATATTTGGGTAGTTTTCACCTCTGGCTATTGTGATTTTTTTCAATTAAAAAATATTTTCTTAAGACAAGATCTTCCTCTGTTGCCCAGGCTGGAGTGCAGTGATGTGATAGTTCACTGCAGCTTTGAACTCCTGGGCTCCAGCCATCCTCCTGCCTCAGCCTCCCAAGTTGCTGGGACTACAGGCATTCATCACCACACCCAGCTAATTACAAAACAATCTGTGGGTGTGTGTGTCTAGAGATGGGGGGTCTCAATATGTTGTTGCTCAGGCTGATCTCAAATTCCAGAGCTCAAGCGATCCTCCTGCCTTGGCCTCCTAGTGTTGCGATTACAGGTGTGAGTCACCAAGCCTGGCCCACCCTCTGGCTGTTTGACTAATGCTGCCATGGACCCGGGCGTACACATATCTGTTTGTTCATGTCTATTTTTGAGCCCCCCTTATTCAGTTTGGTAAAATGTAGCCTTCATAAATAAGATGTGCAGGACCAAGTGTTATAGTATTTAATATCATGCAGTCCTCCAGAATAGCATGGAAATAAGAATGCAGGGAATGTGGGAGGAGGGTCGTGTTGAAGACACCTGAAGGCAGCACATGATTCTTTTCACCTGCAGCTGCTCTCACTGAGCTGGTGGTCATATGCCTTGTTTTTTTAAGACAGAGTTTTTCTGTCGCCCAGACTGGAGTACAGTGGTGCAATGTCAACTCACTGCAACCTCCTCGCCTGCCAGGTTCAAGTAATTGTCCTGCCTCAGCCTCCCAAGTGGCTGGGATTACAGGCACACGCCACCATGCCCATCATTTGCCATTCTGTCATCCAGCTGGCCTGTGTTATGTGTGACACTTTTCTCTGTGTCAGGGTTTGTTTGTTTGTTTTTTAATGTCAGGTTGTTTTCCCCCTTAGGGTAGAATTCATGGCAAGGCAAAAGGTCAGTTAGAGACTATAGCATGGCAGCGTTATCACATATTTCATCTCTACAATCATGTGCTTATGGGTGTCCTGGTATAAAAGCCAGAAGGCTTTATGTAATAATTAGATGTCAATCTGTTAAAGACAACTTAATCTGTAGTTTCTAGAGAACAGTACTCCCATATGAGTTAATACTCATACTGTGCCCTGAAAGTTAGCTAAATAAGGATTTGCATGTTTAAAAAGCAGGTTTTTAAAGTGAAACAAAACACACACACACAAACTCATCAAAGCTTGAAACCAAACAAAAATACTACTATCCCTGGGTGTCCACCCACTTTCCTATTTCATGCCAACTATAGGCACAAAAAGAATATTGGGGTTAACATGGTGAATTTCTTGGCAGTCTGATACTTTATCTGTCTAGCTCAACTGCATTAAGAGCATCTAGGATTTTGTCATCAGTCTTAGGCTTACTCCCCTTGTGCAGAACAACGCAAAAATTCTTAAAAGTCCATTTGAGAACCTTAGGCTGTGAATGGTGATGGATGTAGCAGATAACATGCCCTGACTCTTTAAGGTCACTGGGACCCAGAGAATGGGAGGGCAAGGGTGCAAGTTGCCATTGTAAATAGAGTGGCCAATGGGACCTCCTTGAGAAGGTCATATTTGAGCAAAGACTCCGGAGGGGAGAGGGTGGTCCAGGATGCTGTGGGGAAAGACTGCTGCAGGCAGAGGGGACAGGTAACTCGCTGCAGAGGCCCTAGGTTAAGAGTGCTTGACTTAACTGGCTATTCCTCCGATGAGTGATTGGGAAAGGGAAGGAGGAGGAGGTAAGGGCAGAGAGGAAGAGGAGCCAGGTTGTGCTGGGCTTGCCAGGCTGTGTACAGACTTTGGCTTTGATTTCTTGGAAGATGGCAGCTCAGGGCAGGGCATTGCTCCTTGGAGTGGTGGGATCTGTGTGAAGACAGGCCAGGCAGAGGGCTCCCAATCAAGGAGTCAAGCAGGAGGCTGAGCCAGCCAAGTGAGGGTGGGAGCTTTTGCCAGGCTGGTAGCTCCCACCAGGATGGGAGCTGTGGGGCCAAGATGTTAGATTCTTGAGAAGGACAGAGGAGAAAGGACACAGAGAGAACAGGATCGAATACATGCAACTTTTATTTTGACAGATCAGAATGGACTGTCAGATGGACTTCCAGACAGATTGGATATGGGGCGTGAGAGAGAGAGAGCCAAAGATAACTTTCTCGGCAGAACCTGGGTTGCAAAAGGAAATCTGAGTTTCAAAACGCTGGGAATTCACTGGGCTGTGTTCTGATCACTTGCAACTAGGTTATAAAGAGGCTCTTCAGAAACATACACATAAGGCTTTGGTTCAGAGAACTTTGTACTTACCATTGGCCTGCCTTCCTAGTTTGGGGGAAAGAGCATTGTTAGAAATGAGAGGTGGTTTTCCAGAAGCAGAGGACTTGACTTCAGTGACAGGTGGGTGGTCTGTAACCCACAGGCTGTCCCGCCAGGGCTGCCATTGCAGGTATCGCCACTCAAGCCCCAGTCCCCTCCCTACCTTGTTTGTCCTTTGCCTAACTGGAAGATTAAGCTCTTTCCAGTCACTCCCCATCTCCATACACATCAATGTTTTGTTTTAAACAACTATATTGAGATATAATTCATGTACCATACAACTCAGCCTTTTAAAATATACAATTCGGGCTGGGCACAGTGGCTTAAGCCTGTAATCCCAGCAATATGGGAGGCCCAGGAGGGGGAATCATTTGAGACTAGCCTGGCCAACATGGTGAATCCCAGGCTCTACTAGAAATAAAAAAATTAGCGAGGCCTAGTGGTGGGCTACTCAGGAGGCTGAGACATGAGAATCACTTGAACCCGAGAGGCAGAGGTTGAGGTGAGCTGAGATCACGCCACTGTGCTCCAGCATGAACAACAGAGTGAAACTCTGCCTCAAAAACCAAACAAAAAAGGAAGGAAATTTTAATACATGCTACATGAATGAACCTTGAAGACATGCTAAATGAAATAAGTCAGGCACAAAAGGACAAATATTTTGTGATTCCACTTACATGAAGTGCCCAGAATAGTCAAGTTCATAGACAGAAAATTGAACAGCAGTTGCCAGGGGCTGGGGCCATGGGGGAATGGGGAGTTAGTGTTTAATGAACCTTGAGCTTCAGTTTGGGGAGATGAAAAGTTTCAAATGAGTGGTGGTGGTAATTGTGGAATCATGTGGATGCACTTAATGTCACCGACTGTACACTAAAAGGAATTAAAGACCAGGTGCGGTGGCTCAGGCCTGTAATCCCAGCACAATGGGAGGCCGAGATGGACAAATCACCTAAGCTCAGGAGTTTGAGGCCAGCCTAGCCAACATGGTGAAACCCCATCTCTACTAAAAAATACAAAAATTAGCCAGGCGTGGTGGTGCATGCCTGTAATCCCAGCTACTTGGGAGGCTGAAGCAGGAGAATCATTTGAACCCAGGAGGTGGAGGTTGCAGTGAGCCAAGATTGCAACACTGAACTTCAGCCTGGGTGACAGAGTGAGATTCTGTTTCAATAAAATAAAATAAAATTAAAAGTAGTTAAAATGGTAAATTTTGTGTTTTGTATATTTTACCATAATATAAAAAATGGTCCAGGGAGTGGGGGTCTCTTGGAGGAGGTTATACTTAGGTTGAGACCCAGAGGATAAGAAGGTACCAGTCAGGGTAAGAGTGGTCCAGTCAATGGGAACAGCAAGTACAAAGGTCCTGCAGTGGATGAGAGCTTAGTATTGTGCTCTAGGAATTGTAAGAGGCCAGAACAGCAGGGGTCACATGATGCTGGGGCCATCATGGGATGAGGGAGGCAGGCACTAAACTGCAGAGAAACTCATAGAAGGTCACTAACATATTTGAAGACTCAAACTCCTGGGCTCAAGGGATCCTCCCACCTCAGCCTTCTAAGTAGCTGGGACTAATATCCACTTTTATCCAGTACTGTCATGTCTAGCAGTGGAGTGATGTGATTCGATTCCTGGTTTTGGCTGATAATCCAGACTGCAATATGCAGAATGAGTTGGCAGGTGTGGTGGGGTGGAATGAGGCCAAAAGCAAGGAGAGGAAATTTGGGAGGCCCCTGCAATGTCCCCAAGAGGGTGGAGGGAGAGATAAGTTGGGGGTTTGGGCCAGATGATGGGAGTGGGGTTGAGAAGTGGAAGGTAGGTGCCGCACTTCACAAGGGAATCCTGGTTTTGGTGATGGGTTGGATTTGAAGATAGAATTGTTGACAATTCTTAGATTTCTAATACAAGCAACTAAAGCTGATGGTGCCATTGAGACCAAGGAGTCGTTTTAGAAGATGAACTTAGCTTTGATCATGTTTAGTTCATGTTGCTGGGACATCTGGGTGTGGTTGCTGGTGATTCAGAAGTCTGGGCTGGAGACACAATTTTGGGAATTGTAGCCTGGGATTGGGTTTAAGGAGCTGCTCCAAGATGCTGGAAACCAGTGCTTCCTATTGTCGATATCAGCCTTTAGTTTGGACTAAGAATTTTTAAGTAGTTTTGGCAACAAAGTATGTACATTTGAGCAAAAAAAAAAAAAAAAAAGCACTTGTGCAAAGTCACAAGCCCTGCTTTATGGACAAAGATGACAAGGTGGAGGGCTGATGCAGGGTGCCTAGCGGACAAGACCCCCATACATGGCTCAAAATGTTCTCAGATGTGGGAAAGGGCCACTTTGTGTGGTTTAGGAACTTGCTAAAGTCAGGGAATTTCCTGTGGAAAACCGACTTTTCAAATTGGCTTGTGTGGCCTAAAAACCAAATCACTCTTTTCATGTGTGTAGAGTGGTGTAACGAAATGGTGCTGCTCAATGTACTCTACTTCCGCATGGTGTATTTACCCACTTAGTCCCGTGGTGTATTAATTTCCTGGTCTCTTTTTGCAAGCAAAGGAATTATAACTTGCATGAGGTCAGAACTAGTAATTGACAAAACCAGAAATTGCAGTCAAGTTTCCAGACTCACAAGGCGAGGGTTCTTTTCCAAGACCTCACAGATGAAGGTTGGAAATCCATCCAAATGACTCAGAGATAGGCTTGCCAAATTTAACAAATAAAAATACCGGACACAGTTCAGTTTGAATCTCAGATAAATGAAGAGTAATTTTTTTTTTAGTATGTCCTATGCAACATTTGGAGGACTGACTTATACTAAAAATGATGTGTTCTTTTTGTTACTGTCAAATATAACTGTGTGTCCTATTTTTCATCTGGTTGCCCACCCAGAAATGAACTCTTGGAACACAAAATCATTTGTAATTTGTGGACTTCGTGTATATTCAGGCTCTTTATAAAAACTCCAGGATCTGCCAAGCATTTTGTTTTATTTGTGGGTGGGAGTGGGAGGAGGATTGATTTTCCTATTCTCTTAAAATGGCTATGTTGTGATTTTTTTTCCGTCTTTAGTATCTGTGATTTGTAATAGACAGCAGCCCAGTTTTGGGAATAAGCCCAGAGGATGTCAGCTCTGGTGAGTCACTGAATGGTTGGCTGACCTCAGCTAATAATAGTAATTCTTTACATTTTTAAAATACTTCATAGTTTTAAAAACTTCTCATTTGGGAATTGGCAAGGCAGGACTTATCCCCATGGAACAGATGAGAAACACAAGGGAAGCAGTGCTTGGGGGAGTGGGTGGTACCAGGAAATGGGTTAGGGTATTCTTTTTCTAATATTTAGTTCAATGATAAGTAGTTAATTTTCTCCCCTCCTCTCCCCATCCCTCCCTTCCCCTCCCCACCCCTCCCTTCTCCTCTCCTCCTTTCTTTTCTTGAGACAGAGTCTTGCTCTGTTGCCAGGCTGGAATGCAGTGGAACAATCTCAGCTCACTGCAACCTCTGCCTCCTGGGTTCAAGCAATTCTCCTGCCTCAGCCTCCCAAGGAGCTGGGACTACAGGTGCCTGCCACCACACCCAGCTACTTTTTGTATTTTTAATAAAGATGGGTTTCACCATATTGGCCAGGCTGGTCTCAAACTCCTGACCTCGTTATCTGCCCACCTTGGCCTTCCAAAGTGCTGGGAATACAGGTGTGAGCCACCACGCCCAAGAATTTTCTTTTCTTTTTTTCTTTTTTGTAATTTTGGCAAATAAGCCAAAATTACAAGAGGAAATGGTATACTGGACCCAACATTGCCCACCCGCGGTGTTTCAGATGGAGCCCTTAGGCCCACTTTTTATCAGATGAAGTTATGTTGCCTTTTAGGTTCTTCTGTGTGTGTCATAAGGAAATCAGTAAGCATAAAACGGCTTTAATTGCACTTGGCAGAGGACTAAGGGTATATAAAGATTGGTGACCGTTGTAAGAACTAAAGTACATTTTATTTGCTTATAAAATTTTGTTCGCCATGGTATTTTAGGCATTATACAATGATTTCCGGTCCAGAAAATCCTTAGAATTTAATATGACTATTACAAAGTTTCTTTTCTTCAAAGTTTTGTATTTGAAAACTTGTTTTAATATCACTTAAATATAAATATAACATAATATCCTGTCTGGCAGTCTTTGTAAACGCTCGAATTTGTCCAAGCTCTAAGTTGTTAGGGGTCATTTTTCTGTTCCAAGTCGATGTTATCTCCATATCTGCTGTATTTCAATACCCCTGACTAGATGTAAAAAAGATAGTATCTCTTTCATGCAAACCTTAATTTTTCAAAACACTCTTTAACATCTTTTTGTGTTTCTAGTTTTCATGAATCATTAAAAGAACACATTTTGTTACTGAAATAAAGGGGCTTGGCCCAGGCACAGGGTCTCAAACCTGTAACCCCAGCACTTTGTGAGGCTGAGGTGGGTGGACCACTTGAGGTCAGGAGTTCGAGACCAGCCTGGCCAATATGGTGAAACCCTGTCTTCAGTAAAAATACAAAAATTAGTCAGGCATAGTGGCGCATGCCTGTAGTTTCCACTACTCAGGAGACTGAGGCAGGAGAATTGCTTAAACTTGGGAGGCAGAGGTTGTAGTGAGCCGAGATTACACCGCTGCATTCCACCCTGGGCAACAGAGCGGGCTCTGTCTTAAAAAAAGAAAGAAAGAAAGAAAAAGAAATAAAGGGGCTTAGATTAGAAGATACCCAGCAAAATTCTTAGCTCTAATTTCCTCTTTATGTTAAATTTATTGGATTCTCCCCTCTGTTGCCCTGGACTAACTGGTCTCCACTTAAAAGGTGATCCTGGGATTTTTGTTTAATTAGTTTGTTTCTCTAACTGTTACAGGCACCATTTTTAGACTTGCTCTGAGCATCATATAGTTGCTCATATCCATAGTCAAAATATTAAAATCGCAGGGTTATTAATATTTAATTAACCTGGCATTGTGATAGATACTTTTTAAGCAAGAGCTATTATTTAAGGAGAACCAGGATTCAGTTCAGAAAGATAAAAGATGACAATGAAATATTTGATTATTAAAATGTTTTTACTAGAAAAGGAACATTTGTAAGGTTAATGGTACAGTTGCTTCTGCTAACCTTAATAGCTATCGAGTATCAGTCCTCTTTTTTTTTTTTTTTTTTTTTTTTTTTTGGTGGCAGGGTCTCATTCCGTTACCCAGGCTGGAGTACAGTGGTACAATCTCAGCTCACTGCAACCTCCGCCTTTCAGGTTCAAGTGACTTTCCTGACTCAGCCTCCTGAGTAGCTGAGATTCCAGGTGTGCACCACCATGGTTGGTTAATTTTTATTTTTATTTTCATAAACATGGGGGTTTTGCCATGTTGGCCAGGTTGGTCTTGAACTCCTGGCCTCAAGAGATCTGTCCACCTTGGCCTCCTATAGTGCTAGTATTACAGGCATGAGCCACTGCACCCAGCCAAAATATCATTCCCTTTTAACATAGAATTCTGCTGGGACAGATGCGCCCTGTGTCTCAGGATCCCCGCACATGCTGTATTCTTCACACCAGAGACTCTTTCCCTTCCTTCCCTTCACCTGCTGACCAGGTGCTACCTCCTCCTGGAAGATTTCCTGATTCCTTGTCTTTCCCAGACCAAAGTGAGGGACCCCCTCCTCTGTTCTAGTGGTTCCCTGTACATTATCATCCCAGCATGGATGGTTCCATCTCAGAGGTGGTAGCTAGCTTTTATCTCAGGTGTGGCTTGATCAGTGGTGGCTGCCTAGACACTGGTTTTCAAAGAATGCTCCCTGGACTAGCAATATCAGCACAACTGGGGGTTGCACCCTAAACTCATTGACTCTGATGATTTGGGGTTAAGACCCAGTAATCAGTGTCTTAACAAAACTTCCAGGTGATTCTGATGCCTGCTCCAGGTTGAGAATCCCTGGCCAAGAGGTTTTTGATGAGTAGGATTCTGAGGTGAGTAGGATTCTGAGGTGATGTCCAGCCACAGCAGGAAAAGGTATGTTAGAATTCCTTAGTGCTGGCCAGGCACAGTGGCTGATGCCTGTAATTCCAGCACTTTGGAAAGCTGAGGCAGGTGGATCACAAGGTCAGGAGTTCAAGACCAGCCTGGCCAATATGGTGAAACCCCATCTTTACTAAAAACACAATATTAGCCGGGCAGTGGCAGGGGCCTGTAATCCCAGCTACTCAGGAGGCAGAGGCAGGAGAATTGCTTATACTCGGGAGGCAGAGGTTGCAGTGAGCCGAGATGGCACCACTGCACTCTAGCCTGGGTGACAGAGCAAGACTGTGTCTCAGGAAAAAAAAAGAATTCCTTTTGCTATCACCTTGAGCAGGTGAGAAGCAGGACAGATGTGGGCCCAGGGGTGTGGCATCCCTGAACTATATTGTAATTGCTGTTCTACTTGTCTGTGTTTACACTAGTGGCCACTTCGGTGAGAATAGCATCTTGGCAAGTCTCATGTTGTAGCTCAGTCCGCAGTGCCATTCTTAAATTGTAGCAGCTATTCTATAATTAAAAATTAAATAGTGAAGTCAGAAACATTCCTTTCCACACTGATAGGCACTTGCATTAGCTGCCATTATTAGAGGCATGTTTTATGAGAGAGAAGGCCATTGAACAACATCGAACCAATAATTGTTGGCTGTTTTTATATAGTGACTCTACAATAAAAAGAATCTACCATGGCCTAATTAAGTGAATGTTATGGCTTTTGCTCCTTCACTAAGCCACCAGAGGAGAATAACCAAGTTTTTTCTTGGACTTCATAACTTAGTAAAATAGTCACAAACACAAATCGATATTTAGAAATAGGGCCGGGCACAGTGGCTCACATCTATAATCCCAACACTTTGGGAAGCCAAGGCAGGTGGATCACTTGAAGTCACGAGTTTGAGAAGATTGGCCAACATGTTAAAACACCATCTTTACTAAAAACGCAGAAATTAGCTGGGTGTAGTGGTGTGCGCCTGTAATCCCAGCTACTTGGGAGGCTGAGGCAGGAGAATCGCTTGAACCCAGGAGGCAGAGGTTGCAGTGAGCCAAGATCGCACCACTGCACTCCAGCCTGGGTGACAGAGTGAGACTCCATCTCAAAAAACAAAACGACAACTACAAAAATAGATATTTAAAGATTTTTGCATCTTTTTTTTTTGGTACTTATTACCATACTTTGGAAATGCAACAAAAATACTGGGAATTTTTCTTTAAGCGTCTACTTGGGAAAAAAATGGACTCTCTTATGAAATTTTCGCTTGGGTTAGAGATATTTTTACAAATGGTACTTGGAAATAAAGACCATCCCATAACCCTGAGCTATGAAATATTTAGGGAAACATCAGCTAACACCTGGATCCACTCACTCTCCTACTTTGGTTTTATGTTGTTGTCAAAAGACAAAGGATAAATAGTTTTCACGATCTTGTATATTTTGGAGTTCCCATAACTCCAATCGTTTTCTAATTAGATGGGGCAGCATCCAGCTTAATACTAGGTCTGGTTTTTTAAGTCGGTTTTAGGTGCTTGTCAACAAAGCCGGAACATAAGAAAGTTGAACTGATTTGTGGAGCTCTTACCCTGGCCTTCCTGTGAACGTTTTGAGACAGAAGACAGGCACCAGTTTATGAAAGCCTTCGTAAAAGTATACCTAACTTAATCAACTGGATGTGACTGCTGCCCCCTGTGGAACACTCTAAGTTGTCACAATTCAAGATGCTCCAAGTGTCTAGTGCTCCAGGTCAGGGATGCTTCTAAATATCCTACCACATGCAGGACAGACTCCACAACAAAGCAATGTCTTACCCAAACTGTCACTAGGGTTGAGGTTGAGGAATTCTATCCTAAACCATGGGTAGGAGTCCTCTTAAAATGCTGTGGTTCGGCAGGACTTAGTCATAGGTGCGTTTCATAGTCTCTGCACATCCCCAAACATAGCACCCTGAGCACTGAACTCTGACATTAGTTGAGAAGATGATGCCCCTCTAGCTGGTGCTTAAGCCTTTTGGCTTAAGCCTGGACTTGATCTTTGACCCCTTTCTCTTCCAAACTGTACCCCACCTTCATTTCCAATCCATCTCCAAGGCCTGTTGCTTCTACCTCTAGAAGACCTTAACGCCACCCGATAACCTCTATCTCCGCTGCTATCCGCAAGGTTCAAGCTGCCATCTCCCTCTCCTGGACCATTCTGGTAGCCTTCTCACTGAGGGCTATGCTTCCACCCTGCCCCTTCCAAACAAGAGCAGACACTCAGATCCTGCCAACCCTTGCAGTAGCTCATGCTGTGGTTCTAACAACAGCCACCTTCTCTCCACAGCTCACCATGCCCAGCCTGCCCTGACCCGGGCTTCCCCCTGCAAATTCCATTATTTTACTACTTTAGTTTCTGTAGCATGAAGAGTCTCTTCCTGTCCCACGAACTTCAGATTTGTAGCTTTCTCGCCTGAAAAGCTCTTCCTCTGAATGCCTCCTTTTGCCTTTTGGCCCAAGTGTCATTTCTTCAGTGTAGTCTTCTGCACACCCCAGTTAAAGTTGAAGGAGTCCCTCCGAGTTATGCCCTCTGCTCACTCTTTCTTTCTTGAGTAGCAAGGATGTAGAGAACAGGGGAAGCCCAGAAATACTGTTGAAATGGCAACAGCTCTGTCTCCATGTGCCCTTCGATGTATGGTAGAGGAGATGGCTTCGGTGTTTTCTTCAATGCTTAATTTCCTTTTTTTGAGATGGGGTCTCGCTCTGTCACCCAGGCTGGAGTTCAGTGGCACAATTTCAGCTCACTGCAACCTCTGCCTACCGGTTCAAGCAATTCTCCTGCCTCGGCCTCCTGAATATCTGGGATTACAGGCATGAACCACCACGCCCAGCTAATTTTTGTGTTTTTAGTAGAGACAGGATTTCGTCATGTTGACCAGGCTGGTCTCAAACTCCTGACCTCAAGTGATCTATCTGCCCCGGCCTCCCAAAGTGCTGGGATTGCAGGTATAAGCCGCCATGCCTGGGCCTTGATTTCCTTTTATAGTGTCTCTTCTTGTGAATATCAGGAGTCTTGCTTCCGTTAAGGCAGCATCTAAAAAACATATTTGAGATTTTTAAAGTTCATGTGGTCTTTCTATATTATTCAAGGAAATAAATACATAAAAAAGACTTGTTTGTCAAACCACATGTGTCCACCCTGTTGTGCGCCTGCCATCAGTTTCAAAAGATACAGTAAGCATGTTAGAACTTTTGTTAAACATAAAGATACATAAATATCTTATCTTATCCATGCCTGCGTTCCATCAGATGCCCTCTTTCCCCCTGTAATCTTTACAGTTTGTTTTATAGTCTTTCTGTAGAGAATTCTTAACCTGAACACAGTGTTCTCTGTCACCCATCATGCTTCTAGGAATGTCCCTGCCTCCCATCAGCCAGTGCATCTCTAGAAAAGACAAATTAGGCTCAGCATGATGGCTCACGCCTGTAATCCCAGCACTTTGGGAGGCTGAGGTGGGCAGATCACCTGAGTCCGAGACCAGCCTGGCCAACATGGTGAAACTCCTTCTCTACTAAATATACAAAAATTAGCTGGGCGTGGTGTTGGGTGCCTGTAATCCAAGCTACTTGGGAGGCTGAGGCAGGAGAATCACTTGAAACCAGGAGGCGAGGTTGCAGTGAACCAAGATCACGCAGCCTAGGCAACGAGAGAGAGACTCCATATCAAAAAAAAAAAAAAAAAAAAAAAAGACAAGCTAGAAGCTAGAATTAATCTAAGCCAGGTATCATTTAGAAGGTAAAGGAATCATATTACAGTCAAAGCCCAAACAAATATATTTCACATTATCTAGAGCCCTTCTAAAAATGTATAAAGCAGAGGAGACTAAAGAATTTTCTGTGTGTGCATGCCATTCATTCTTGACTTCTTGATAAATGAGATTCTCAAGCTCACCTGGGAAGCATCGAAAATATTAATGCCTGAGTTTTCCTTGCCAGAGAGTCTTATTAGCCAATCTGGGATAAACCCGGGTGATTCACTCGTGCATAGTCAAGACAGAGACGGCTTGGAAAGTAGACAATATAGGAGTCTACCCTTTATAGGATACCTACACGCGTAAAGTATTTACTTGGGCTTACCAAAATGTCTAGATATAAACCTGTGGGGAAAGTGATTGAAATAAATGAATGGCATAACTTAAGGCTGCTGGATTGGCGCCTGCGATGCATCAGCTGTGGGTGGCCTTGATTAGTTTTACTTAATTTCATAGTTCATATCTGCATAGTTATTTGCTGCTGGCAAAGCATCGCTTCATGTAATCTTATTTTCACATAAGAGAGCAGAGCATCACTGCACCTTCTGCCCTTTCTGTTCCATGCTCCAATTAAATGGATTTCACTGCAGCAGCCTTCTGGCCTATGGCCGAGGCCTCCCACGTGTTTCTGAGGCTGGGTTAGATATGGTTTTGCCAAGCTCCCACTGCAGCCTGAGCATATTGTCTTCTCCTGGCATTTACTGTATTTTAAATATGATTATTACTGTTATTTTAGAGATGGATCTTGCTCTGTTGCCCAGGTTGGAGTGCAGTGGCCTGATCATAGCTCACTGCAACTTTTTTTTCTTTTTTGAGAGAGTTTTGCTCTTGTTACCCAGGCTGGAGTGCAATGGTGCGATCTCAGCTCACTGCAACCTCCGCCTCCTCGGTTCAACTGATTCTGCCTCCTCGGCCTCCCTAGAAGCTGGGATTACATGCATGCGCCACCACGCCCAGCTAATTTTTTGTATTTTTAGTAGAGACAGGGTTATACTATGTTGGCCAGGCCGGTCTCCAACTCCTGACCTCAGGCTATCCACCTGCTTCAGCCTCCTAAAGTGCTGGGATTACAGGCATGAGCCACCACATCCGGCTAAATCACTGCAACTTTAAACTCTGGGCTCAAGCCATCCTCCAGCCTCAGCCTCCTGAGTGGCTAGGACTACAGGTGTGTGCCACCATGCCTGACTACTTAAAAAAATTTTTTTTGAAGAGACAGGGGTCTCCTCATGTTCAAACTCCTGACATCAACATCGAGCTATTCTCCCATCTCAGCCTCTCAAAGTGCTGGAATTACAGGTGTGAGCCACTGCACCTGCCTGTGTTTACCATATTGAACAGTCTGTGTTAGGATTTGAGTTATAGTGAGACATCACCATATCTTCTTCATCCCTAAAGTCCACAACCTAGTAGGCATTCAATAACTGGAGAATTAACGAATATATTAATTTCCACTTTACAGATGGGGGCATTGAGGCACAGTGAGTGCCTCAATTCAGCACTCTCACCTCCCCTAATCTTTGTGAGCTCTGGATTCCTCTTGTAAAAATAAAGAATTTTGGAGTTTTTTTTTTTTTTTTTTAAAGAAAGAAAAGAGGGAGAGAGCACAGGAGTCTTGCTCTATTGCCCAGGCTGGAATGCAATCTAGATGGAGATTTTTTTTCTAACTACCCATATAGCTTAACAACCCATATAGCTCAGAGACAGGTGGTTCCGTTTTATGATTTTAACAACTCTGCAGTGTTGCCAAAACTCAACAAAGCTCTCTCCAAAGATGGAGTGAAATAGTCTCAAGAAGAAAGATACGATCAAAGTAACCCACCTTCTGGCAAGAATGGAATTCACATTACACTCCGACCTGGATCAGGAACGCAGTCCCAACCGCTGAGTATGAACATTCACCTGGGGACACTGAAAAAGTAGAAGTTCCTGGGGTTTATCCCTTCCCTTTCTGGAGTTCCCCAAGTGATTTTGAAGGAGACCAATCAGTATTTAAGGCCTCCTTTTTGGTGTTCTTGAAGATTACTGATAACTGACCAGTGGTGGTTATATGAATGGTCTTCATGTCTTATTTTAACATTTGATTTTATTTCATTTATTTACTTATTTATTTTGAGACAGTCTCGCTCTGTTGCCAGGTGCCAGGCTGGAGTGCAGTGGCGTGATCTTGGCTCACTGCAACCTCTGCCTCCCGGGTTCAAGCAATTCTCCTGCCTCAGCCTCCCAAGTAGCTGGAGTTACAGGCACGTGGCACCACGCCCAGCTGATTTTTGTATTTTTTTTTTGTAGAGACAGGGTTTCACCATGTTGGCCACGATGGTCTCAATCTCCTGACCTCATGCCCCGCCCGCTTCGGCCTCCCAAAGTGCTGGGATTACAGGCATGAGCCACAGCGCCCAGCTGATTTTAACATTTTAAACAGTGGGCTGACCCAAACACAGCTCTATTTGAGCAGCTGGCTTGGCCAGGCCACACATATCATATGTACCTTTCTGAGACAAGGAAGTTGTCTTCTGCCACATTCTGATGGAATCAGAGACGTGACTATTGAGGCTGGACTCTTGACCAGTTAGAAATCATTTCCTAATGAGTTAGGTTGGGGAACGGGAAATGGGCATGCTGAAAAAACCAAAGAGAAAAAGAAAGGTGAAACCACATCTTCCTTCTGTTGGGGTGACACTGTCCACAGAGAAAATAAAAGTTTTTACATGTTGTGTACAATATTACCTCCATCAGGCAACCTCTTGGTTGAAGCCAATTAAGAGATTTTGAGGGTTGCAAAATGTAAGGATTGAATAAGTATCTCTCTTAGGGTTTAAACGAAATCCCTCCAGTGTTTAGTAGAACTGGCAAACTAAGGGGTCCTGATTGCTGAGTAATTATGACTTCCTTTCCCCTGATCTTTGGAGAAGCTTGTTTTTATTTCTGGTTTGCTCGCTCTCCACACTCCCTCACCCGTCTGCCTGGATTGGAAGCCAGCCCACCATAGTTTTCATTGTGAAATTCCCGAAGCTGCTAATATATATAAACATACGACAGGATGTTTCCCACAGCTGTGCATAGTGACTTGGGAGACAGGCCAGAAGGCCTCTTTCTTCAAATTGGGTGAATTCTATAAAGTCTTCAGTTAGGTTTAACAGTAATTATACAGTTATGCATTTTTATTTTAAAAGGACTTAAAAATTTTTCACAAGTTATATATTTTTTAATCCTTTCCAGGATTTACTCAACTGAGCAAAAGATTAAAAGCGAATGTTTGCTTTACCTTTCTCCAACTTTAGATTTTAAACATTTCTCTACAATTATTGACATCTTCCAAAACAGTTTTACATATACAGACACAGTTGTGAAATTCGAGATTCATGATAAATCTGTAATGAGAATTAGAAGCATGGGCTTCAAGGCCAGCTGGTTTATTCAGCACTCAAACTCTAGCATTTATATGCCTTGATGATTTATAACAGGTTTAGCCAAAAGAGACTAATATTTAATTTAATGTTTAATATTATAAGTATTAATTTACCTATATTATTTATTTTTTCGTTACACAAGAATGGATCATTATACCAAAAATAAGGTAGAAATGCCATGTTCGTTGTTGCTAAAATAAAAAGTGAACATTAGGCTGTAGCTGACACCAACTTTGGATTTCAAAGGTTAATGTCACATTTTATTTTTGCTCCTTCTGGGAGCCTTTCAGCTCTGTCTGTGAGTGCTCCTAATTCTCTGCCTCTCTCCATGCCGGTTTGAGTGAAGTAATTTCTCTCTGCTACTAGACGTCCGGTTTTTTTTTTGAGAGAGGGTAACACTCTGTTGCCCAGGCTGGAGTGCAGTGGTGCAGTAATGGCTCACTGTAGCCTCGACCTCCCAGGCTCAAGCGATCCTCTCACTTCAGCCTCCTAAGTAGCTGAGACCGCAAGCACATGCCCTGCTAATTTTTGTATTTTTGGTAGAGATGGGGTTTTGCTGTGTTGCCCGGGCTGGTCTTGAACTCCTGTGCTCAAACAATCTGCCCACCTCGGCCTCCCAAAGTTCTGGAATTACAGTCATGAGCTATTACACCCAGCCCTACTAGACTTCTTATGCTTGGTCCATAAAAGACTTCTCAAGCTACTTTTGGCCTCCCAAAGTGCTGGGATTACAGGCATGAATCCTGTAATTTGGAAATTTGGAATCTTTCTAAAGTATCTCAGGATTCTCGTTACGTGTAATTTGTGATTTCTTCTGTTTCTGGGAAATCCTCTCCCTTGAACAGGGGTTAGACCTAGTGATGTCCTTCTATTGAATAAAATATGCCCATAGTGATGGGATGTCACTTCTGAGGTTGGGGCACAGAAACACCCCACTTCCTTCTTGCTCATGCCGTCTTACCCTATCACTTGCTGGGAGAGAAGCCAGCTGCCCCATGGAGAGACATTCATGGCAAAGAACTGAAGCCAGCCTCTGGCCGGTAGCCCACAAGGAACGGAAACCTGCCGGAGACCCTGTGAGTGAGCTTGGAGGAGGATCCTCCCCAGGCCGACCTTTAGATGACTGCAGCCCTGCCTCACACGTTGATTGCAGCCTTACCAGGAGACCCTGAGCCATTGAAACTGACATTATAATACTTGTGGTTCAAACTGCTAAATTTGGGGGTATTTTGTTAGGCAGCAATACAGAGCTAATACAAGGACAGAGTACGGTGAAATTAAAGTTGCTGCTTGCCTGTGGGGAGCTCACTATCTTGTAAATGCTTCTGTTGTTGACCATCACGGGGAAGTCAAGGTGTGAAACTATCATGTTTGTTATTTCCTGATAAGTTTTCAAGCTTCACTTTTCTTCCACCTATTTTTTTTATTTTTGTTTAATTTTTGGAATAAGTAATACATGCAAATGGTACAACCTTCAAAATATACAAGAGGGTGGCCGGGAGCAGTGGTTCATGCCTGTAATCCCAGAACTTTGGGATGCTAAGGCAGGAGGATCACTTGAGCCCAGCAATTCAAGACCAGCTTGGCCAACATGGCAAAACCCCATCTCTACAGAAACTATAAGAAATTAGCTGGGCATGGTGGCACATGCCTGTAATCCCAGCTGCTTGAGAAGCTGAGGTGGGAGGATCACTTGAGCCTGGGAGATGGAGGTTGCAGTGAGCCGAGATCCCACCACTGCACTCCAGCTTGGGCCACAAAAAGATACCCTGCCTCAAAAAAAAAAAAAAAAAAAAGTCAGTCTTCCTGCCTCCTCTTAGCCCAGTTTCCTAGATCTCCTACCCAAAGTCACCGGCCATCACCAGTTTATTGGTTGTCTTTTTAGAAATCACCTTTGTGTTTACAAATGCATACATTCTTATTTCCTTTTTCCTCTGAAACAAATGAAAGTGGAATTTGGCTTTCAATGGCCTGTCTCAGGAAGATGGTAGATATATAACAGATTGAAATCTTACGTAGTTTGTGACTTGGATTCCAGCATTGGATTCCACCTCTCAATAGATAAGAAATTAGCCCGGCTGGGCACTGTGGCTCACACCTGTAATTTCATACTTTGGGATGCTGAGAAGGGCAGATTGCTCGAACCCAAAAGTTCAAGACTAGCCTGGGAAACAGCAAAATCCCATCTCTACAAAAAAATGTAAAAATCAGCTGGGTGTGGTGGCACATGCCTATAATCCCAGCCATAGGCTGGGAGATCTGGGAGGCTGAGGTGGGAGGAATTGCTTGAGCCTAGGAGGTCGAGGCTACGGTGAGCTGTAATCACACCACTTCACTCCAGCCTGGGTGAGACCCTACTTAAAAACAAACAAAAAAAATAGTTTGAGTAAACAGTTGGAAAGGAAGACAACAGATTGCATAACAATCGGCCTGGAGTAGGACTTAGAGAAACCATCCGGAGTACTGAAGACAACCAGGTGAATTGCTTTCGAAGACGCTTCCAGAATGGAGTATCTTGTTGACCTTTGGGGGATTGGTGGGGTGGGGGGGCCCGGTGTGAAAGTAACACCTTAGAAAATGTCCCAGACAGTTGTCCCAGCCTCTTCTCTTTTCTCTCATTTTCTAGCCAACTTCTCCCAAAGAAGACTTCATACTGTGAAAAATAATTGCTTTTTTTTTTTTTTTTTTGCAACTTGGTTCCTGTCACTTTTAAGGATCTGAGGTGAGTTAGACAGGAAACAAGCCCTGAGAACAGATATGAAGAGGAAAGAAAAGGGCTTGCTGTTTTATTTCCCCTCCTTTCTCTCACCTTCGTGGGCAGATCTGGGTGACTGTGGTTGATTGTGTGGATGGGCTCCCAGGCTCCAAAACAAGTCACTCTTTCTCCGCCTGGCCCTGAGACCACCATCACGCATCTTAACCTCTTCATGTCTCTGCTTCCTTTCCACCAGGTGAAGGTCATTAAACGACATAATTAAAATGACTTTCAGGAATGGTGGAAGCCTAATTCACATGATCACAGGGATGCCAGGTGCTACTGTTGCAGTCATCAGCCCTAAGATTATAGCAGCATGCCAGGCAAGACACAGTGCAGGCAAAGTGGACAGAACTCAGCTGAAAACCAGTGGTAGTTTTGTTTCTGTAATGTGCAGTATGGGTTCCAAATGGAATTGAATCATCAAGTATGCTTACCTGGTTTGTTGTGCCGAGTAACGAGATTGGCCAATCCTTCTTATTTATTGTTCGGAAACTATAGAAGAAAGCAGCCATCAAATGATGATGGTTCTTCAGTGACTCATGTGTCCTTTGATTAGAATCCAATGCGGCCTACTCCTTATCCTAGCATCGTTACTAGATATTGTCTTTTATTTTGACTAAAGGAGCATAGGAATGGATAGATTTTTATTTTTATTTATTTATTTTTTTTTGAGACGCAGTTTCACTCTGTCACCAGTGGCATGTTCTCAGCTCACCACAACCTCCGAATCCCGGGTTTAGGCAATTCTCCTGCCTTGGCCTCCTGAGTAGCTGGGTTTATAGGTATACACTACCATGACTGGCTAATTTTTATATTTTTATTAGAGATGGTGTTTCACCACATTGGCCAGGATGGTCTCGATCTTCTGATCATGATCCGCCCTTCCTCGGCCTCCCAAAGTGCTGGGATTACAGGTGTGAGCCTGGCCAAATGCGTAGATTTTAAAGAAATGCCTAGGCCAGGTACAGTGGCTCATGCCACCCAGCACTTTGGGAGGCCAAGGAGGGTGGTTCACCTGAGTTCAGGAGTTCAAGACCATCCTGACCAACATGGAGAAACCCCGTCACTACTCAAAATACAAAATTAGCCCGGCGTGGTGGTGCATGCCTGTAATGCTGGCTACTTAGAGGGCTGAGGCAGGTGAATCCCTTGAACCTGGGAGGCGGAGGTTGCGGTGAGCCGAGATCGCACCATTGCACTCCAGCCTGAGCAACAAGAACGAAACTCCGTCTCAAAAAAAAAAAAAAAAGAAATGCCTAATTGTTTCACTGCTCCCTGACAGTGAATCTCTTGCTCTAGGTAGAATAACCAATTTTTTATTTCAGGCTACTCATCTGTGACCCTGATAATATGGAGTAAGAATTCCTTCCTCCTTATTCATTCCTCTCTCGGTTTCCTTCTTTCTCTTTCTTCCCTTTTTCTCCCTCTCTTCCTTCCTCTTCTCCCCTTCCTTCTCCTCTTCCCTCCATTCACCTTCTCTCCTTCCTCCTTCCCTCCTACTTTCTTTTTCCTTCTTTCTCCCCTCTCTCTCCTCCTTCCTTCCTTTTCTCTTTTCTATTTCTGAGACAGAGCCTCCCTCTGTCACCCAGGCAATGAGTGCAATGACACAATCATGGCTCACTGCAGCCTTGACCCCAGGCTCAAGCAGTCCTCCAACCTCAGCTTCCCAAGTAGCTGGGACTACAGGCACGTGCCATGATGCCCAACTAATTTTTGGACTTTTTGTAGAGATGGGGTTTCACTGTGTTGCCCAAGCTAGTCTCGAACACTCCAACCCAAGCAGTCCACCATTCTTGCCCTCCCAAAGTGTTGGGCTTATGGGTGTGAACCACCACACCTGAACTGCCTGTCTCTCCCTCCTTCTCTTTCTCATCTACTCTGTATTAGGCTTGGCCCTGGGCATTCATCATACAGCAAAGAGTCAAGATCCCTGCCCCCATGGAGTTGACATTCTTGTGTGGCGAAGAGAATAAACACACTAATATGCGTTATTAACATTTATCTCATGTTGATGATATGTGCAAGGAAAAATAAATAAGCATGAAGGGCAAAAGAGGTGAGGGCTTACTATTTTGTCCGAGTGACTCAGGGAGCCTCGTTGATAAGGTGACCTTTCGTGCAGTCAACATCTGTCAGCTAGTTACTGTATATTGTACTCTATTCGAGTGCTGTGGTTGTAGCTAAACAAAATAAGCAAAAATCCCTTTGCTTTGGGAGTGTACATTCTGGTCAGAAGAGATTATTAATAAATATTTTATTTTATTTTATTTTTGAGACAGAGTCTTGCTCTGTCGCCCAGGCTGTAGTGCAATGGCACAATCTTGGCTTACTGCAATCTCCGCCTCCCGGGTTCAAGCAATTCTCCCACCCCAGCCTCCTGAGTAGCTGGGATTATAGGCACACGCCACCATGCCCAGCTCATTTTTGTATTTTTTTAGAGACAGGGTTTCACTTTTTGGCCAGGCTGGTCTCAAACCCCTGACCTGAGGTGATCCACCCACCTCGGCCTCCCAAAGTGCTGGGATTACAGGCGTGAGCCACCATGCCCAGCCTAATAAGTACATTTTAAAGTCTGATAGCAGATGAGAAGTGCTATGGACACAGTGTAAAGAAGGGGGACTGGCAAGGTTGGGGTTTAAATATGGTGGCGATTGATTGGGCCCCTAAAAAGGTGACATTAGAGCTAGGACAATAAGGTGAGGGGCTAATCCTTGTGGGTAACAGGAAAGAGCGTTCCAGGTACAGACACTGGGTGGCCCAGGACCAGGGAGGCAGCAGGGTGGCTGGAGATGAGGACTGAGAGGGGAAGAGAGCACATAGACTGGGTTTTACTCTGAGAGAAGTGAGAACCCATTGCAGGGTTTTGAGCCCAGGAGTAACTCCATCTGCCTTACCTTTGGATGAATCAGCCTTGCCTCTGTGCGGGAGTTAGACCGAAGGGCAAAGTGTCTGGGGCTACCTCTGATCTGGGTGGGGAGAACAGAGCTTCAGCCAAGCCATCTGCAGGGAGGTGGGGAGAGGTTTTAGGTTCTGGAGACGTTTGGAAGGCAGAGCCTAGGGCTTGCAGATGGGTAGGGAAGAGGGTGGGAGGGAAGACAAGACTCCAGCGTGACTCTAGGTATTTTGCATGAGAGATGGGTTTGCCTTTTGCTGATTTGAGGAAGCCTGGGGGATCATGGAGTTATGCAGGAAATTGAGGGGTTCAGTTTTAGGTTTGAGTAGACACCTGAAGTTTTAAATGTAGCTTCCTTTGGTAATATGGAAACATTTGGGGGAACCATCTTCCTCTTAAATACAGTTCTAATAAGTGGGTATAGAATGTCGGGGCCAAAGTGCATCTCAACTCAGAGCCTTTGCAGACTTCAGCTGCTTGTAGCAGTTACTCGAGCTAGAAACTGGGCACCTTTTTCAGTGTTTTTCCTCCCAGACCCCCTGCCTGGATGAAGTGAGTTATGAAATGCTGCTTCTGCCTCTGAAAGTTTTGCCAGAAATCCCATCCTCTCTGCCTGCACTACCTCATTAGCCTCCACCTTTAGCCTCTGTTGCCAGAGGGCAGTAGGGATTTTCCGCAATCTTATCTTGCCCACAGATTAACCCCATCTCTTCCTGGAGTCCTTGGTCGGGGTTATCTTTTTTTTTTTTTGAGATGGAGTCTCACACCAGGCTGGAGTGCAATGGTGTGATCTTGGTTCACTGCATCCTCCACCCCTCTACCTCCCGGGTTCAAGAGATCTTCCTGCTTCAGCCTCCCAAGTAGCTGGGATTACAGGTGTGCACCACCACACCTGGCTAATTTTTGTGTTTTTGGTAGAGATTCCTTAGTAGAGTTTGTTCCACCCACCTCAGCCTCCCATAGTGTTGGAATTACAGGCATGAGCCACCCCACCTGGCCTAGGGTTGTCATTTCTAAAATGCAGATCTGATGAGAACAGCCCCTGTTGCGGAGGCCCCAGCTCTTTCCACAAATGATTCCTGCACTTCTGCTGCTCACCTCCCACCTCCTCACCTCTGCAGATGCTTCAACTTCAGGGCCCAATTCACTTATTCCAGAATAGCTTCCTGGGCCCTGTTCCCTGCTCTGTGTCCTCACTGTCCCCGTTACTTCACCACAGCAGACATGCTTCTGTGGGCTGAATTCCTAGTGTTTGCCTTGCCCCAGACTTAAGCTTCATGGGGACAGGAGCCATATCACTCACCAGCAGCTAACGGAATACCTGCCACGTGGTCAGGAGGTGTTTGTGCAATGCATGGGAGGGTTCAAATGGCCTCTCCCTGCTTAACACAAATTCCAAATGCCTCTAGCACCCAGTGCCTTCCCAGCCCTGCCTCTGCCTATTTTCCAGTCTCCTTCTAACTCTCTTCTTCCTCCTCCCCCAGCGACTGACACTTTAGTAACTCTACACTAATGATCCTTTGTGCCTTCTGGGCTGCGGAATATTTGCCCCCCGGGATTCTTTTCCCGAAATGCCTTTCTCCTCTCACTTTCCGTCTCCCAACCAGATAGTGGCCTGGCTTGAGGCTTTGACCTTCAAGGCCAACTCAACATCCCTCTTCTCTCTCTCCATCCCTGACCATCAGGAATAATTGACTGTTTTCTCCTCCAGTTCTCCTGCTAGCAATACTTACCATGAATGTCACGGTAAGGTGTTTATTGCCACTGTTCTTACGTAAACTACGTGCTTACGAGGATGGGGTGTATATTTCATGTGTTACTTTAGATACTGCGTAACTTTATATACATATATACTTAAAGTACTATATATATTTTGTAGATATATATAATGCATAATTTGTTTATTGGATTGATTAGGGGGTAGTAGAGGAACAGTGGAATTTTACATTTTAGGAGACTTGTTCCTTATAATTATCTTAGCTCTTTTGTTTTGTTTTGTTCTTTTTGAGATGGAGTTTTGCTCTTGTTGCCCAGGCTGGAGTGTAATAGCACAATCTTGGCTCACTGCAAGCTTCACCTCCCGAGTTCAAGGGATTCTCTTGCCTCAGCCTCCCGAGTAGCTGGGATTACAGGCATGGGCCACCATGCTCAGCTAATTTTGTATTTTTAGTGGAGATGGGGTTTCTCAGTGTTGGTCAGGCTGGTCTCAAACTCCTGACCTCAGGTGATCTGCCCGCCTTGGCCTCCCTAAGTGCTGGGAGCACAGGCGTGCTCTTTTGCAAAGCACTGTTATGTAACAAAATTACAGGTTTGAACTCAGAAAGCTTGCAAAGTTTCTGTTTGTTTTGTTTTTAGCATAACTTGAGGGAGATTTCTAAGTGTTATGTAGGTTCGGTTAACCAACCTAACATGGTTTTTAGGAGTATAAACATAGAGACGTCTGCTGGATAATCAGTATGCTGACTGTAGTTTTAATCATGAAAATTGGGGTGGGAACAGCTAAAGGCAGAGCTAACTGGTTTCCTCGCAGGTATTTATCATGAGTTGTGTGCCTTAGGCTGTGTTCCCTTTTGAATGTGGTTTTTCTGGTTGTTCTGACAGCACTGCTAAGTGTGCGCTTTAACGTTACTGGATAAATTATATTGCTTGATACCACTCATATCTTTGGAAACTGGATGTGTTCTGATCAGCTCATTGATTTCCAATCTGTAGAATTACAGTAAAATTTAGACCTGAGACCATGCAGAGCCTCCTGGTGCTGTCTGTGGCCTGAGTGTATCAAAAGATGCCTGGACAGCACATTACTTAACAAACAGAAAACTGCCACTGGTGTTTGAAGTGCCGATGCCCAAACATCAGTCTAGTCAGCCTGGTTTTTGGAAGCTTGATTAAGGGAAACTTGGTAATCTCAGACCATTTAGGAATTAAAAAGAAAGTGAATTGAAGGATCAGGAAGTAAGGGAATTGACTAGGGATAGGAGATGCACCATGCTCAGTGCTGAGAGAGGTAGGTAGACTATGTCATGCTTAATAAAACTGTCTGAATGCGTGATGGACTACTCCCATATAAAGGAGGTAGTCTGTCTCCTACATAAACAGCTCCATTTTGAATTTAGGGAGAAGTTGTGATATAAGACTTGCCATCTTAATTCTGCCATTAGTTGTGATTAGCATTAAAGGCAAATTTCTTCCTGATAAAAATTCAAGTCCAGGCCAGGTACAGTGGCTCACGCCTGTAATCCTAGCACTTTAGGAGGCTGAGGTGGGTGGATTACTTGAAGAGGAGTTCAAGACTAGCCTGGCCAACATGGTGAAACCCCAACTTTACTGAAAATAAAAAAAAGTAGCTGGGTGTAGTGGTGTAGCCTATAATCCCAGCTATTAGGAGACTGAGGCAGGAGAATCACTTGTACCTGGGCAGCAGAGGTTGCACTGAGCCTAGGTTGTGCCACTGCACTCCAGCCTGGGCAACAGTTAGACTCCATTATAAAACAAAAACAAACAAAATTCACATCCATGTTCCTAGAATGGTGACTCTAACTCATGTCTGACTGTCCTTAACATTGGGGCATGTTGACACGTTTTCACCTCCAGGTATGTTGCCAGGAACTCGTGATCTGCCGCAGTAGGCAGGCCCCAGAGTACCTGACCCCTCCATGTGGTTTGCCCCTGAGCAGTAGCTGCCCACTGGCTGGCTTGCTGTGCATTTCAAGGTCCCTGTCTCAGCCTCTCCTCCTCCTCTAGCCCATTTCTACCCCTCTGGAGCTCCTGCCTCAATAATTTGGCTCCAGGGGTACCATGTTCTGAGGGCAGGCTGGCCGGAGGCAGGAGAAAGGAGCCTTGTGTCTCATGGAGTGAGGACAATCCCAAACTAGATGGAGGCATCGCAATGGTGACTAAATTCTGTAGTGCCACTGCATATAAAACACAGGCCTATCAAGGCAAGTGGCATTTTGTGGACTGCTCTGGAAAGATCTAAACAAATTTTGAGCTATCTAACTGAAATGTGAAATCTTAGACTGCAGTTCTCATTGGCAGCTGGGGTGGGTGGGCACCCAGGGAGGCCTGCTGGGCTGAGGCACAGAAATTCTGCCTGAGTGCAAGAAAAAGTAGTTCTCATTAGCCGGGCATGGTGGCACGAGCCTGTGGTCCCAGCTACTCAGGGGGCTGAAGCGGGAAAATCACTTGAACCTGGGAGGTGGAGGTTGCAGTGAGCCAAAATTGCACCACTGCACTCCAGCCTGGGTGACAGTGAGACCCTGTATCCAAAAAAAAAAAAAAAAAAAAAAAAAAACCAAAAAAGCAGGAGGGTTTTATGAGCAGGGTGCTGGGCTGGCTGGGTTAAATCTGGGCTCTACTGCACACTTGTGAGACCATGGACAAGTTCTTGGTCTTAGTGTCTTCATTTATACAAAGGGAATAACAGGACCTACCTCATTGAATCCTTGTACATTTAAATGCATTTGTGTTTGTTAAATGCTTGGGATGGTACTTGATGTGTAGCATTAGCTCAATAAATGCTAGCTGGTGCTATCATTAATACATTATGATATTAGAATTACAAATAAAAGTTCTTGGATCAGATCTACTATTTGCTGTGCATTTGGGATACCCGGGGCTCAGTGCTCCTGAATAAGCTTACTTTTCCCATACTCAACTCAATTATCTACTCTGGAGTCATCTTTGGCTGTTTCTTGCCATTTGAGATAGTCCAGTGGCATTTGTGGTCCTTTAAAAAATCAATTTAGAGGGAGATATTTGCATTTCATAAATTAAGGCTCTAACCAGTTGCCTGCTGGCTTAATGAAGTCTAGCAATTTCCTGCTTTACCCCAGTGCCTCCAAGGAGCCTTGCACTGAATTTCTTGCTGGTGGATATTGATTTTAACTAAACTTGGAATTGGTGAATGAATGGTCTCCCCTTCGCAGTGGGTTTTGGGTGGGAAGGCCCATGGGCATACCTGGAAAGGCTCTAGAGGAACTAGCTTTATTTGAACCCAAGGAAGGGGTTTAATAGCAGAGCAGGGAGAAGGGAGCCCAACAGATCTGGCAGAGCTGACCCAGGACGAGATACAGCTCTGAGGACGGAGTCGTCGCGGGGCAGACAGAATGCATGGCTCCGGGGGATGGCAGCCAAGCCCACTGGCCATTGGAGGTTTTGAGCAATGCAGATACTTGGCTCTGCCTTTTTTCTGAGCTGCTCCTCCCCTTAACATGCCTGGGTCAGACGATGGTTGAGCAAGGAAGGTATACTGTCTGAGTACACTTCCCAAAGCCACCTGTCCCTCACCATCAAAATCAGGATACTCAGCCACCCGCCTTACTCACTGGGAAGCTGCCCACCTGACCCTTCATGGGAGGTGGGAGTTGGGCTCTTTTTATCCAGGCTGGTCAAGTCCTTGCTGAGCAGCTGGGAAAACAAGAGCACCTCTCAATTTTTTTATTCGTGGAAATTATCACCTACCTCTTGCTTCTCAGGCTTTTTAACTGGTTACAGTGTTTGCTGCTGCAGTCAGCCCAAGGGTTAAGCCTTTCTCTTGGGTGTGTGTTTCATTTTACATCCTTGGACTAGCATGGACTGGGCATGCAACCATCTCTTGTGTTTTATTTTTAGAACTTAGAGTAAGGATTAGCTATGTAATATTTTGAATCCTTCATACTGACTTCTATAAAATACACAATAGAGAAAGCTCTAAAAGCTTAGGTTTTTTTTTTTTTTTTTTTGGAACATAAGCCATAAAAATAGCCTTTTAGAATTCTAACCTGGAGTGTATTTTCTTCCCTCAATTCCCTTGGCTGGTTATTTTTAGGATTTAGGGATGGCTTTGGAGACTAGGTGTGAATCTAGGATTCATACCTATTTGTGGCTTAAAAAAAAATTTTTTTTGAGACAGAATCTCACTCTGTTGCCCAGGCTGGAGTTCAGTGATGCAATCTCGGTTCACTGCAACCTCCACCTCCCAGGTTCAAGCAATTCTCCTGCCTCAGCGTCTCCAGTAGCTGGGACTACAGGCACACACCACCACAGCTGGCTAACTTTTCTATTTTTTAGTAGAGGAAAGGGTTTCACTGTGTTGGCCAGGTTGGTCTCAATCTCCTGACTTCAGGTGATCCACCCACTTTGGCCTCCCAAAGTGCTGGGATTACACACATGAGCCACTGCTCTCAGTCAAAATTCCTTATATCTCATAAAAGTGATATCTAGGATATTTGTAGATTGTATATAATGTATAATTGTTAATTGTCTAGCTTTATACTCTATAGATTTTTTAAAAATCCATTTAGAGCTCTGTGTGTATAAATTCGTATGTGTGTATGTTTTCATGAATGAAGACCTAACAAGTTGCTTGCTGGCTTCATGTGGTAGAACCAGAATACCTGGCAAGTCTTAGGTCTAATCCTAATTATACTTCATTTCCTGGACCAGTGCTGGCTAAGGGAACTTTCTGGGATAATGCATGTGTTTTGCTTTTTTTTTTTTTTGAGACGGAGTTTTGCTCTTGTTGCCTAGGCTGGAGTGCAATGGCACCATCTTGGCTCACTACAACCTCTGCCGGCTCCCCCCACGACCCCAGTTCAAGCAACTCTCTTACTTCAGCTTCCCAAGTAGCTGGGATTACAGGTGCACACCACCACGCCTGGCTAATTTTTTTTATTTTAGTAGAAACTGGGTTTCACCATGTTAACAAGGCTGGTCTCAAACTCCTGACCTCAGGTGATCCGCCTGCTTTGACCTCCCAAAGTGCTGGGATTACAGGCATGAGCCACCGTGCCCAGCCCAAAGGTGTTCTGTTTCTAGCCACTAGTCACATGTAGCTGTTGAACACTTGTAATGAGGCTGGTGCAACTGACGATCTGACTTCTAATTTTAGTTAATTTAATAGCCGCACATGGCTAGTGGCCACTGTATTGGATGGCACAATGGCCTTGGATTGTTCTTACCTGAGCAGCAGAAGGCTTTCAGAGGAACTGGAGCTTGGGTTGTGTGAGATGGTCCTAGAATTAGAGGGGCATGTACCACTGCCCCGTTTCCCACCAGCTCAGGCTGTGACTCTACTGGACCCATGCCTTCTCTCAGAAGTGATAAGCTCACCTTGGTTCTTAGTGCTTCAGTTCTTGAATGTTGCAAGCCTGCCTGAGGTTGGCTCCTTGTTACCCTGTGAATAAAGTCTAGGCTCCTAATGCCCTTTTTGATAGACCTCACCTCTCTCTTCCTTACTTATTACTTTCCCATCACTCTCCAACTGCCCATGACACAGAAAGATTTGCAATTTCAAGAACAGGCTGTTCTTACCTCTAAACCTACACAAATCGAACACTGTCCACCTGAAATACTCTGTCCCTTCCATGCACCTGTCTGAGTCCTACATATCCTCTAGGTCTCAGGCTAGATCTCAATTTCTGCAATGCCTCCTCTGGGAAAGGCTTTCTTGACCTCTCCTAGGACAGATGGGTGCCTTTACCTACTGTGTGTCCTGGGTGGATTCCCATCACAGCACACTTAATTGAAATTACTTATTTACCTACAAGTTCTTCCTCCTGCCCTAGAGCTTCTTAAAGTGTGGCCCCTGTACCAGCAGCATCGGCGTCACCTGGGAACTTGATGGAAACGCAGAGTCTCAGACCCCAGCCCAGACTTCCTGAATCAGAAATCCTGAGGGTACAGGCTGCAATTTGTGCTCAACAAGCCCACCAGAGGATTTTCATATGTGCTAAAATTTGAGAACCAGTGGGCTGGACCCTTAGCCTGATGAAAGTAGGGTCTGTGATTTTTGAATTTTGATTCGCCTACTTTTAGCACACTGCCTGGCTAGAACTCGAGAAACAGCCAGAAAGGAAATTCCAGATATTCTTTCAGCAACTTGTCTGGTCAGGAAATTTTTTTGTAGTTGAAATCACTTTAAATCTCTTCTCCTTTTTCCAAAGGAGATGAAGAACAACTGAGTACTTTAAAAAATTTATTGTCACCTGGGCGTGATGGCTCATACCTGTAATCCCTGCACTTTGGGAGGCCTACAGAGGTGGATCACCTGAGGTCAGGAGTTTGAGACCAGCCTGGGCAACAAGGTGAAACCCCGTCTCTACTAAAATACAAAAAAATTAGTCGAGTGTGGCGGCAGGCACCTGTAATCCCAGCTACTGGGGAGGCTGAGGCAGGAGAATCACTTGAACCTGGGAGGTGGAGGTTGCAGTGAGCTTCGAGGAAAGAGCAAAACTCCATCTCAAAAAACCAAACCTTATTGTGGTAAAATATACACAACATACAGTCTACCATCTTAACTATTTTTATTTTATTTTACTGAGACAGAGTCTCACTTTGTCGCTCAGGCTGGAGTGCAATGCATGATCTCACTGCAACCTCCCCCTCCTGGGTTCAAGCAATTCTCCTGCCTCAGCCTCCTGAGTAGCTGGGATTACAGGTGCTGACCACCACACCTAGCTAATTTTTGTATTTTTTAGTAGAGGCAGTGTTTCACCACGTTGGCCAGGCTGATCTCAAACTCCTGGCCTCAAGTGATCCACCCATCTCGGCTTCCCAAAGTGCTAGGATTACAGGTGTGAGCCACCACACTCTGCGTTAAGCATTTTTAATTGTATGCATCAGTGGCTTTAAGTGCATTCACATGGCTGTGCAGCCATCACTGCCATCCACCTGTAGAACCTCTTCATCTTCTCCAGCTGAAGCTCTGCACTCATTAAACAACTCTCCTTCCTTCCAACCCTTGGCAACCAACATCCTACTTTGTCTCTGAATTTGCCTACTCTGCGTTCCTCACGTAAGTGGAATCATACAGCATGTGTCCTTCTGTGACTGGTTTATTTTACTTAGCGTAATGTCTTCAGAGTTTAATCCATGTTGTAAGATGCATGTGCCAGGATTTCCTTTTTAAGGCCAAATGACAGTTCCTTGTCTATATACCACATTTTGCATATCCAGTTATCAGACAGCATTTGGATTGTTTCTACCTCTTTTCTTTTGTGAATATTACTGTTGTGATCTACTGTGTAGATTATATATGTATAATATCTGCTTGAATTCCTGCCGTCAGTTCTGTTGGGTATATATCCAGAAATAGGATTGCTAGATCCTATGGTAATTCTATGTTTAATTTCTTGAGGAACCACTATACTATTTCCCACAGTGGTAGCATCTGGGCTCACTGCAACCTTTGTGTCCCTGCCACCCCCAGTTCAAGTAACTCTCCTGCCTCAGCCTCCCAAGTTGCTGGGATTACAGGTGCACACCACCACACCCAGCTAATTTTTTGTATTTTTAGTAGAAACGGGTTTCAGCATGTTAGCAAGGCTGGTCTTGAACTCCTGACCTCAGATGATCCACCCTCTTTGGGCAGATCTGGGGAGGCTGAGGCAGGAGACTCACTTGAACACAAGAGATGGAAGTTGCAGTGAGCTGAGATTGCACCACCACATTCCAGCCTGAGCTGCAGAGCAAGTCACTGCATCCCCCCCCCCAAAAAAAAAAAAAACAAAACAAAAACAAAGAAGGCTTCCCAGGGCAGGTGGCTGCGCAGACAGTCGTGGTAGAGGTGACCACAGCCACATAATGTCCATAGTTTGTTCACTCGTCCATGCCAAATGGATCATGGGGGAGGTGACTGGGACAAAAATGCAGAAGACTGCTAAGGTGAAAGTGACCAGGCTTGTTCTGGATCTCTATTTATTAAAGTATTATAATAAGCGGAAAACCTACTTTGCCCACGATGCCGGTCAGCAGTGCACAGTTTGGGATATCATGCTTCTTAGAGCTTTACCTGTTCCACGCACAAAGCATTTGAAACATGAACTGGCCAAGATCATTTTCAAAGTTGGAAAGGTCATAGATCCAGTGACAGGAAAGCCCTGTGCAGGAACTACCTACCTGGAGAGTCCGTTGAGTTCCGAAACCACACAGCTAAGCAAAAATCTGGAAGAATTCAATATCTCTTCAGCACAGTGAAGGAGGAGTGGAAGAAGGCACTACAGGGAAAGACTGACATGTTTATGTTATGGAAAAAGACATTTTTCTAAGTTTCATTGCCAAAAAAAAAAAAAGAATAGTGAAGAATTGTGTCAGAGGAAGACAAAGTTTTCCAAACTTTCTTAAATGTACTTTCTTGGTCAATTATAACCTATACATTGAGTACCTATCATGTGATAAGTTGTTGTGTTAAAAAATAAATGACATTGGCTGGTGGCGGTGGCTCCCCAGCACTTTGGGAGACCAACGCGGGCAGATCACGAGGTCAGGAGATTGAGACCAGCCTCACCAACAGGGTGAAACCCTGTCTCTACTAAAAATACAAAAATTAGCTGGGTGTGGTTGTGCGTGCCTGTAATCCCAGCTACTCAGGAGGCTGAGGTAGAAAATTGCTTGAACCTGGGAGGCGGAGGTTGTAGTGAGCCAACATCATGCTGCTGCACTCCAGGCTGGGCAACAGAGTGAGACTCCATCTCAAAAAAAAAAAAGGCATCAATAGAATTGATTCCAGTAGGTTCTGTTTAGTTCTAACAAACTTGAAAATGTTTGTTAGATTTGAAAAAAAAAATGCATATAAAATCTTAAATGTTGAAATGTTACCTCTTGTTTCTGATACAATGTATGGAAACACAGCTCTATCTTAGAGTACAATTTTTTAACAACCATTTTATTCTTACAATCAATCCTAAGAAATAATTTGATAACAGTGCAAAAATGTATGTTTAAGGAGCTTCATTGCTAAGATTCTCATTCTTTGAACTCCAGACTTTCTTAGAACTCAAGTGCCAGTTATCTTTGGATCAAGAGAAGTAATCTCTATCCACATCTGGTTGCTATGTTTCAGATTTGTAAAAGATTGTGCAAGGCTGTAAAGACACAGAACCTGTGAATTACTGTGTTTGGGAAGCACATTCCTTTATCAGGAAATCATGGGTTTGGTAGTTTAAGTAACAGAGAGTATAGTCTGTAGGAAAGGTACTCCAAGTGCTAAAAAGGAGCAATTACCTTTGGGAGGCCGAGGTGGGTGGATCACGAGGTCAAGAGATCGAGCCCATCCTGGTCAACAAGGTGAAACCCCCGTCTCTACTAAAAATACAAAAATTAGGTGGGCACAGTGGTGCGCACCTGTAGTCCCAGCTACTCGGGAGGCTGAGGCAGGAGAATTGCTTGAACCCAGAAGGTGGAAGTTGCGGTGAGCCGAGATTGTGCCATTGCACTCCAGTCTTGGTCACAACAGCGAAACCCCGTCTCAAAAAAAAAGGAACAATTACAAAGCAAAAAAGTAGGCTCGTATTTATGGTGCTGGGCACATAAACTGTAAATATCTTTGATTTGTCATCACTTGAGGATCAGGGCGTATAATCAGCCTATCACTCTCCTCTTCTGGCCTCTACTGTGTGTTCTACTCTTGAGAGTAAGAGCTAACCCAGGAGGGCATTCTTTCAACCAGGTAGCACGTGTGTCACTATCCATTTGCCCACCCCCATAGGATGCACACCACAAAGAATGAACCCTGGTGAACTACGGACTTCATGTAAACTAGGGACTTTAGTTAAAATATGTCATTATTGGGGCTGGGCACATTGGCTCACACCTGTATGACTTTGGGAGGCTGAGGTGGGCAGATCACTTGAGGTCAGGAGTTCAAGAGCAGCCTGGCCATGGCAAAATCACATCTCTACTAAAAATATAAAAACCAGGTGTGGTGGCAGGCACCTGGAGTCCCAGCTACTCAGGAGGCCGAGGCAGGAGGATCACTTGAACCTGGGAGATAGAGGTTGCAGTGAGCCATGATCACACCACTGCCCTATAGCCCGGGTGACAGTGTGAGACCCTGTCTCAGAATACGTATATATACATACACACACACACACACACACACACACACACACACGTGTATATATGTATGTATGTATATATATCTCATTATGGGTGCATCAGTTGTAACAAATGTACCACTCTAATGCAAGGTGTTAATTGGGTAGACTAAGTCATGGGGCTGAAAGGATATGTGGGAATTCTCTGTACTTGCCACTCCATTTTTCCATAAACCTAAAACCATTCAGTAATAGCCCATTTAAAAAATAGGAAAAGAAAACATCTATAGAATTAGGAAATTTAGTGCCAGAAAGGACCTCAGCCCTCTTCTGGAGAAACACAGGGACAGACTTTCCCTGTTCCCCATTCTAGGTTCAGTAGGTTGGGTTCAGGTTCAACAATCTATTGCTAATAAAAGCATACTGTAAGATTCTGACGTGTGGTCACATCTTAGAATCATTGATCTGGTTGAGAACCCCCACTGACAGTTGATAACTGGAACCTAGGTGAGGAGGTGACCTGCTAAGTCCATACAGCTCGTGGTACCATGCTAGAGAGTAGAGGATAGGTCTCTCCCACTCACTGTCTTATCTCAAGGACCTTCAGAGAGGCCATTGCATTTGAATCTAAATATTTCTTGAAGGATCGATGGCACAGTTGCCCTGATAGCAACAGCAACAACGCAGGGTTGGTGCGATGGCTCACGCCTGTAATCCCAGCATGTTGGGAGGCCAAGGTGGAAGGATGCTTGAGGCTATGAGTTCAGGACCAGCCAGGGCAACATAGCAAGACCCTGTCTCTACAAAAATTAAAAATTAGCGGGGTATGGTGGTACATGCCTATAGCCCCAGCTACTCAGGAGGCTGAGGCAAGAGAGTCACTTGAGCCCAGAAGTTCAAGGATGCGGTGAGTCATAATCACGCTACTGCACTCCAGCCTCGGCCACAGAGTTGACACCCTGTTTCTAAAACAAACAAACAAACAAAAAAACAGAGAACAACACCAAACAACGTAGACTTCCCCTTTGGAGTACTCCTCTGTCTTTGTTTGGAGAAAATACTTTTTAGCAAGCTGCTTATCTGTGAAGTTGAAGACCTTTTTATGACTTTTTCCACTTTCAGTAACAAAGGTGCTCATTGGTTCCTGATTCTAGGACATGTTTATTCAGCTAGACTTACTGATCCACATAAATGCTTTCTCTAGAGCAAGTTAGAATCTATTAAGTGCAGATTTTGAGTGTGGGAATTGTGTCTATTAGGTATATTTCTCTTTTTCAGAAATAATTGTTAGACTTTAAAATGTTCGATTTACAACATATACTAAAAATCATCTTCCAGCTGGGCGCAGTGGCTCACACCTATAATCCCAGCACTTTGGGAGGCTGAGGTGGGCAGATCACCTGAGGTCAGGAGTTTGAGACCAACCTGGCCAACATGGTGAAACGCCATCTCTACTAAAAATACAAATATTAGCCGGGCATGATGGTGGTGCGCGCCTGTAATCCCAGCAACTCCGGAGGCTGAGGCAGGAGAATCGCTTGAACTCGGGAGGTGGAGATTGCAGTGAGCCAAGACCGTGCTACTGTACTCCAGCCTGGGCAACAGAGCAAGACTCCATCTTTTTTTTTTTTAGATGAAGTCTCACTCTATTGCCCAGGCTGCGGTGCAGTGGCACAATCTCAGCTTATTGCAATCTCTGCCTCCCGGATTCAAGCCATTCTCCTGCCTCAGTCAGCCTCCCAAGTAGCTGGGATTACAGATGCATGCCACCATGCCTGGCTAATTTTTGTATTTTTAGTAGAGATGGAGTTTCATCATGTTGCTCAGGCTGGTCTCAGACTCCTGACCTCAGGTGATCCACCCTCCTCAGCCTCTCAAAGTGCTGGGATTACAGGTGTGAGCCACTGTGCCTGACCAACTCCATCTTAAAAAAAAAAATAATCTTCCTTATTACCTTGGTGAACAAAGAGGAGGATATAGCATAGCCACATTTCCCTGTCAGAAGCTTCATGAAGATAAGAAGAGGTTTCAGGAGGTTTGGGTTAAGTTCTAGAACATGCGTTACTCTTGGGCTGGATCTTCTGGAAGCCACTAGCTGCTCTTTCCCTTAAAGGAAACCATTGCTCAGTTTGGTGAAGGGTAGAAGAGCACAGGCAAAGGTGGAGATGGGCTGGCCGTGGAGGGGGTTCCTCAGGCATCTCTGGAGCTGCAGGCTCTGTTCCCAGCTGGTGAGGTCTTAGGGACAGACCCTTTCCCTCTGCTGGACCTAGGACTGGTAGAAGCAGAAGCTACTCAATTATCTCATCCACTCCGGCAGTATCCCAGAGTGATGGTGTTTATGAACTGTTACTCCTGACACTTTGTTAATCATGATATTACTGTACTGAATTTATCTGTGACTTTCTTCCACTTACGTCTCTACTGCACATTAAAACCACTATGTGGGAGGATAATTTTTAGTCATCCCCCCCCCCCCCCCCGCCACCTTTGTACATTGCAGAGATTGGCCAACGTGGAATATCCAGATACCGCAGCACCAGCCTCCTCCTTGCTGGTGTGTAGAGGGTTTGGAGTGATAGCTTCTTTCTAACACCTTTGAACCTGAGTGTTGCTGACAAAGTGAGTGGACTTCCTAGCAGCTCTCCCGTGTGTTGGGAATGGTAGGAGGGCAACTGCCAGAGATGATCGAGCTGCTGTTGGCTTGCACAGGGCAGGACTAGGAACTTCCCGACAGTGATGGTAGCCTGTTCTGAGTCATCCAAATACCTTTTCTTTTCCTGGTTCCAGATTATCTGTCAGGGATTAAAGGTTCACAGAGTGATTTTTTAAAAAACTCTCAGTGAATATTTACTTAGTTGCTACTATTGGAGTGACCACCTTAGATTGAAATTTTGCCAGCAGGGCGCAGTGGCTCATGCCTGTAATCCCAGCACTTTGGGAGGCCGAGGCAGGCAGATCACCTAAGGTCAGGAGTTCGAGACCAGCCAGGCCAACATGGCGCAAAAAAAAAAAAAAAAAAAAAAGAAAAAGAAAAAAAATTTTGCTCTTGTCTAGGTCCCTGGAGTCATAAGTGTCTTGCCTAGAGGTTGATAAATTCACTGCAGTACTATTCTAACCCTAGTTAAAACTGAGTCCTTAAAGGAAAGCTAGACGTTAAGGGACTGGGGTGGTTCCTTGTGATAAGGAACCGGACATTTGTGATGTCTTAAAAGTGTCTCCCGGCCGGGCGTGGTGGCTCATGCCTGTAATCGCAGCACTTTGGGAGGCCGAGGCAAGCAGACCATGAGGTCAAGAGTTGGAGACCAGCCTGGCCAACATGGTGAAACCCTGTCTCTACAGAAAATACAAAAATTAGCTTGGCATGGTTGCCTGCACCTGTAACCCCAGCTCCTCAGGAGGCTGAGGCAGGAGAATTGCTTGAACCCAGGAGGCAGAGGTTGCAGTGAGCTGAGATTGTGCCACTGCACTCCAGACTGGGTGACAGAGCGAGACTGAGACTCCATCTCAAAAAAAAAAGTGTCTCCCCACAAATTACAAGTTCAAAAAATATGTACATTAGAGAAATCAGACAACACATTGACCACATGACCAAAGTATAAAATCAAAATGCAGTCACTGACAAGAGGCAGAGACCTCATGTGCCTCCAGATGTCACCTATGTGATGTTCCAGCAGGAGCCAAGAACTTGAATTCAATCATGAGGAGATGACAGGGAAAGCTGGAAGGTGGGAGGTTCTGTTTAAAGAGAGAGAGAGAAGGGACACCATATTCTTTTAATGTCAGTGTTGTAATTGACAAATACAGGTTGTAGAAATGTTTCAAATTAAAGGAATGGCTACTTAAAGGGACACCTGGAGGAAAAATAATACTATAACTGACATCACTGGGTCAATGACAAAAGTCAGACTGTTAGATAACTGCAAATGTTATTATTAAACTGTGTAAAGTTGATAATTCTACTGTGATTATGTAAGAGAATGTGAAAGACTACCCCTGGAGTATTTAGGGGTAAAGGGGGATGATGAACCATGTAACTTGAGCTCAAATGGTTCCACAGGGAGCCTGGTGTCCGGCAGCACGCAAGTCCTCTTCAGCTGTCTGTCGCTGACAGTGCTGCCCTATTCATTATGTTATGGCTGGGGATTGGATCGAATTGGAATCACACTGCTGTGACCCTGTAGAGAACGGGAGAGAACATGGGATTCTCTGTTTTTAAGGCCTGTAGACGATTAGAATATTGATCACCTCTAACCGCTTTTTAAACAGTTAAAAGTTAAAAGCTCCCTTTGGGAGCTTGCCTGTGTAAACTTAGGTGAGGCCAGGCAGCTGACCAGAGAGGGAGACCAGCCCAGGAGTCGCAGATAATGACTACCTCAGTCATTAAACACACAAGTAATCCAGAATGCACTTGATTAAGCAGTCAATGTGAAACTGTCAAAACCATAGGCCATTTTAACAAGGCTTTAACTTCACAAATGGAACACTTCGTGAATTCGTGTGTCATCCTTGCACGGAGGCCATGCTGATTTTCTCTGTATCATTCCCGTTTTAGCATATGTGCGGCCGAAGCAAGCACATGTCAAGGATTTTTTTTTAAATCTGGGTAGGGAAAAAATTAAGAGATTTAGCCTGTGTTATAATCTTTCCCTTCCCAAATGTCGATATTGTTATATAATGCATGAAGTTTACCATTTATGTAGGATGCAAGCATTAGAACAATTTAATAAGGCAATTCTGATGAGAGTGTAACATGAACATATGAATAGGTTCAGCTCTGGGTTCTCCAATGCACAATTACACATTGTTGGTAAACAACCTGAGACTCTTTTAGGCTGGCCGGTGTAATGTGTCTCTTACTGGCAAGATACACACTGGATATCGTGGCAGAGGTGTCAGATGTAAAGACAATTTCTATTTCTCAAAAAAAAAAAACCCATAAACAAAAACACTTTATTATTCTGAAAAATCCCACATTTACTCACTATGTAAAGATGTCAACCCTAAGATGCTTTGTTCATATTATATTCTAAATTCCAGAGTTTGATGTTTGTGACATGTTTCAGGAGATCTGAAAAGGGCAGTAATGGATACACCCCAGGCTGCTTTGCTCTGAGCAGCTGGTAGAGTGAAATATTTAATGTCTCTCTCACTACTAGGGTGACATTTTCCTGTGCCCTGAGCACAGTAGGTTACGAGTTAGGTATTTCCCTTCCTATTAATGATTCAACACACGAAAGTAAATTTGAGCCCCGATGTGGGCTATAGTAACTTCTCAGCTGTCCCTGAAGTGTCAATTTGGTGATGTGTTTCTTCTCCTAGGATTTAATCCTCTCACATAAGAATAACAACAGCTAATATTTACTGAGCCTTCCTTTGGGTCAAGCCCTATTCCAGAGCCTTCTATATATTGGATCGTTTTATCCTCACAGCAGCTGTAAAAGGCAGCTGCTATTGTCTTTTTCTCATTTTACAGATGGTAAACTGAGGAACAGTGATATTACTTCATAATTTTTTTTTTTTTTTTTTTTTTGAGACAGAGTCTCACTCTGTCACACAGGCTGGAGTGCAGTGGTGCGATCTTGGCTCACTGCAACCTCTGCCTCCCAGGTTTAAGCAATTCTCCTGCCTCAGCCTCCTGAGTAGCTGGGATTACAGGCACGTGCCACCACACCTGGCTAAGTTTTGTATTTTTAGTAGAGATGGGGTTTTACCATGTTGACCAGGCTTGTGTCGAACTCCTGACTTCAAGTGATCCACCCACCTCTGCCTCCCAAAGTACTGGGGTTACAGGCGTGAGCCACTAAAACTGATTCTTAAAAGAAAAAAATTGTAATACACAAAAAGAACAAGTAAATGCTAAATATTCCTGTTTAAGCAAAGAACAACTATGCCTCCTCAAGTCCAATGCAAATGGAGTGGCCCTGACTCATAAAACATTATGATTTTCTATAAAATTTTCACTTTATGAAATATTCAGATGTATTTTTTCTTTTTTTTTTTTAAGATGGAGTCTTGTTCTCTCTGTCACCCAGGCTGGTGTGTAGTGGCATGATCTCGGCTCACTGCAACCTCTGCCTCCCAGGTTCAAGGGATTCTCCTGCCTCAGCCTCCTGAATAGCTGGGATTATAGGTGTGCACCACCATGCCCAGCTAATTTTTGTATTTTTAGTAGAGACGGAGCTTTACCATGTTGACTAGGCCAGTCATGAACTCCAGACCTTAGGTGATCTGCCAACCTCAGCCTCCCAAAGTGCTGGGATTACAGGCATGAGTCACTGTGCCTGGTGTCTTTTATTTTTTAAAAGAATCTCCTCTTAACTGTCTATGTAAAGATTATTTAATATCTGAGTTTTCAAGATGGAGCCAATGGCTGCCCAAAGCATGTGTTCCCTTCAGAGCCCATGTTAGTGATTAGTACACATGTGCCTACACAATGGTGACCAAATGCTAATACATTAGTTTATTTGAAGGAGAGTTTTGTTGTTGTTGCATTGTTTTGTTGTTGTTGTTGTTGTTGTTGTTGTTGTTGTTGTTGTTTGAGACAGTCTTGCTCTGTCGCCAGGCGCCAGGCTGGAGTGCAATGGCATGATTTCGGCTCACTGTAACCTCTGCCTCCCCGGTTCAAGCAATTCACCTGCCTCAGCCTCCCAAGTAGCTAGGATTACAGACAAGCACCACCATGCCCAGCTAACGTTGATATTTTAGTAGAGACGGGGTTTCACTATGTTGGCCAGAATGGTCTCAATCTCCTGACCTTGTGATCTGCCCATCTTGGCCTCTCAAAGTGCTGGGATTACAGGCATGAGCCACTGTGCCCGGCCTTGCATTGTTTTAATTAAGATTTCAAACATATGAAGAAATAGAAAAAGTAAAATGAATCTCCTCGTTCACGGCAAAGGCCAATGTTGTTTTTATCTATAGATCTGTCCACTTCCTCTCTCTCCATATTATTTCAAAGCAAGCTCAGTCAATGCATCTTTCCATTCAGCCTGGTTTTGAAATTTGGTTTGTTTCCCTTGTTCATACCATGACCAAGGTGGTTTGCTGAGCATACTTTGAGGAAAGCAAAAATCTGTATCAAAGTACTTGTGTTACTGGGTATCTCTTCCCTTGTTGACACAGATGATCTTTGCTTAATGAAGGTTTTTCAATCACTCCACTTTCTTATCTTGAAGTTATTGTCATCTAGAAAATATAGACTATCTTAAATAACTACAGTTCTGTGAAAACTTAACCTGGGGGCAGGAGACAGAGTGATTGAGGGGAAAGGATGCAGGATTTGGCTTCGGATGCTAAGACCTGGTTCCTCTACCTTTTGTCATTTCTGAGAACCTGGATACAGCCTTGAACTCTGAGCTTGATTGGTCGTTTGGTAGTTCTTAATGAAAGGTCTACTGTGTGTCACGCGCTGTTCTGGGCAATGAAGCTATTTCAGAGAATAAAATGAAAAGAATCTACGTTTCAATGATGTTTTATAGATAAGTATGATAATGGACGTGAAAAGCTTTTGCAAGCTGTGGAGTGCGATTATAAAGGCTTGTTTCCTGCTGTTTTTCACTTGAAAACTACAGTTCCCTGATGTTTCGGGTTTACAGTAGTTAATAATAAGCTAAGCTTTATTGAAGGGGGATATATTATGAATTATATCTATGTGCCTTAGTGAATTTCTGAGGAAATGCATCACTGAAATGCCTCACTCAGGGGATGTCTGGGGCCCACATACTATGCACTCCATTCAGGGCTTTACATGGGATCAGGATTAAGCTTCACAGGGACCCTCTCAGGTAACCGCTATCTTCATGTTGTAAATGGGAAGTAGTAAGAATATTTTTCCCAAGGTTCGGCAGGTGGTGTGCCTTAGAGCTGGGATCTCAGCCCCTGTCTGTCTATGCTCAGATGGGAGCCTTTAACCATTTCTTGATTCTGTCCCACTTGAGAAATTAGAGGAATAGGCCATGGTTGTACACCTTTAGATGAAGATGATGATGATGATGATTATTATTATTTGAGATAGCGTCTCACTCTGTTGCCCAGGCAGGAGTGCAGTGGTGTGATCATGGCTCACTGCCACCTCCGCCTCCCAGGCTCAAACGATTCTCCCACCTCAGCCTCCCAAGTAGCCGGGACCACAGGCACAGGCCATAACTTCCAACTAATATATATAGAGGTATTTTTGTAGAGATAGGGTTTCGCCATGTTGCCCAGACTGGACTTGAACTCCTGAGCTCAAGCAATCCGCCCACCTCAGCCCTCCAAAGTGCTAGGATTATAGGCATGAGCCACCATGCCTTGCCTGCACCTTTGGATTTTTACTTTTTTAGAAACAAAAACAACCACAATACAAGGCATAATGCAAAGAATGGGTCAGACAGTAAGTTATTAAAGTGCTAATGATAAAGCTATTCCATTGGGATTTGAGGACCTGGAAAAGGAATGAAGGTGCCTCGCTGCCCTTGTGAGGGAGCAGAGGGGCCTGCAATGGGCGGGGCCAGAGCAGATAGAGCCTCTCCAAGTTCTAATACATGTGTGAAAATCTGGTCATTTCTGTAATGAAGCACAACAGAAACGTCTATCAGTAGATTTTGAAGGTAATATGGAAGACTTACAGATCTCCTTTTGACCTATAGAAGCCTTTTCTTGAAAGTCATCGATTCTGATTTCAGAATATGGTGGTGTAATTGTATTTGTGTTTGGTCCAGACAGAAAAATAAATTCCTTTTTGTTTTTTGGGGTGTTTTTTTTTTTTTTTTTGTGACAGCATCTTGGCTCACTGCAACTTCTGCTTCCCAGGCTCAAGTGATACTCCCGTCTCAGCCACCCAAGTAACTGGGACCACAACTACACCACCATGCCCTGCTAATTTTTATATATATATTTTTTTTTGTAGAGCTGTGGTTTCACCATATTTCCCAGCCTGGTCTCCTGAGCTCATGCAATCCTCCTGCCTTGGCCTCCCAAAGTGCTGGGTTACAGGTGTGAGCCACAAGGCCAGTCCAGAATTCATTGTTGATAGCCTAAATTACTAATGTTTAAATGATAACAAGCATGGATAATATTTATTTTTTTATTCTATGTTATTTTTTGAGACAGTCTTGCTTTGTCACCCAGGCTGGAGTACAGGGGCACAGTCTCTCCTCACTGCAACCCCTGCATCCTGGGCTCAAGCGATTCTTGTGCCTTGCACTCCCAAGTAGCTGGGATTACAGCAGGCATGTACCATGATGCCTGGCTAATTTTTTGTATTTTTAGTAGAGACAGGGTTTTGCCATGTTGGCCCAGCTGGTCTCGAAGTCCTGGTCTCAAATGATATACCTGCCTTGGCCTCCCAGAGTGTTCAGATTAAAGGCATGGGCCACTGAGCCCAGACAAACATTAATAATATTTAAATACTCATGTGACACAGGAAAACATGCACAAGGTTGTCATTGTTAGTGCAACATTGTTTTCTGTGAGTGAGGTTTAAGCTTTGGAAAACTAAGACAAATTCATTGTAGACAAATCTCTGTTTTTTTTTTTTGAGATAGAGTTTCACTCTTGTTGCCCAGGCTGGAGTACAATGGCATGATCTCAGCTCACTGCAACCTCCACCTCCCAGGTTCAAGCAATTCTCCTGCCTCAGCTTCCCAAGTGGCTGGGATTACAGGTTCCTGCCACCATGCCCAGATAATTTTTGTGTTTTTAGCAGCGATAGGGTTTCGTTATGTTGGCCAGGCTACTCTCGAACTCTTGACCTCAGGTGATCCACTCACCTCAGCCTCCCAAAGTGCTGGGATTACAGGAGTGAGCCACCCTGCCTGGCTTGACAGATCTCTCTTAAGAAGAAGGTGGAAACAAGTAGGTTAGACTCTGAGGATGGGTAGGGCGATAGCCAGAATGAACGGATATGCAAGGCAGGCCTGGTTGAGGCGCACTTGGAGGTGACGACCTGTTTTGTGGCCCAGACACCTGCTTTTGATCTTGAGTGTAGCTCAGTTTTTCATTGATGAATACTGCAAAAGAGCATATGTCACAACTCTGAAATAGCTGAAAGAATGGCATCATGTACATCCAGAGCACAGTCTGTTCAGAGCGCTTTTAAAACATGCATTGAAAATATTTTAATTAGCTCCAGATATCTAATAGTAAAGTTCAAATTCATGTGACATTTAAAGGCTTTTCAGTAGCTTTCTTTGAGTTGTGCAGTGTGCAGGCACTCCTGATTTACTTTTGACTGCTTATTTAGGGACTATTTAAACACCTAGTTTTTTTTTTTTTTTTTTTAGATGGCGTTTCACTCTGTTGCCCAGGCTGGAGTACAGTGGTGCTACCTCGGCTCACTGCGACCTCCACCTTCCAGGTTCAAGCGATTTTTGTACTTCAGTCTCCCAAGTAGCTGGGATTATAGGCTCACACCATCATGCCCAGCTAATTTTTGTATTTTTAGTAGAGATGGGGATTTACCATGTTGGCAAGGCTGGTTTTGAACTCCTGACCTCAAGTAATCCACCTAACTTGGCCTCCCAAAGTGCTGGGATTACAGGCATGAGCCACTGCACTCAGCCCTAAACCCCTATTTTATTCTTAATGGTCTTCTCTCTATTCTTAAACACTAATTCCATTTTTTTCTTTCTTTTTTAAAAGAGCTCTGAAAGTGAGGAGGATCGATATGTTAAAATATCAAGATCAGGCCAGTTAGATTTGCTATTGTTGGGAATTTAGGCCTGGCATTGATTTATTGATAGACAGCCAACAGTTTGCTCACAAGAGTGGAGGTGGGTTTGGGGGAAGGAGATGGGTTGCTGGGAGGGAGAGAATCCTCTAGACAATTCAGCCAGAGTCTGCTTCCTCCCCAGAACTACAGGTGACAATGACAGTGAGCTCTATTTCCTGAATAATGGATCAATCTTCCTGACTCAACCCAGAGTTCTATAGGGTGTCTTCACCTAAATCAGGTTAATTTGGGGATAAGTTTTCAGGTTAGTAACATGTTGAATATTATAAGTGCTAATAACAGCATTAAGTAAAAGTTATAAATAGTATCACGACAACAGTAGAGTTAAAGAGGATGTTTCCTTTATCACTGGAGTCCAGTTACATTCAAGCAAGTCATTTTCTCTTTATGGGAGATGCGGGTTGATTGAAGTCTGGGTCTACAGAGAAGGTGGACTATGGAAAAGCAAAACATATGCAAACATTTTGGTTGGTTTTACATTTTATTTTATGTTAGAATCATATGTATATATATTCTCTGTACTATTTGCCTTTGTGGGGGTAGGGGCTGGAGTGAGCATTGCTCAATCAAACCCAAGCCCTTGTCACCATGTGCTACTCACCCACGAAAGTACACAAAGATTTTAAAGGGGAAGCCAACATTGATTGGGAGGAGAAAATAACCACAGCAGAAAAAAAATTCCAGAATACATTAGCATTTTTCCTCTGGCCAGGCTTTTTTTTTTTTAAGAGAAGGAAGAGAAAGCATCTTTAATGGGCACTTCTTTAAAACTCCAGAACATTTCAAAGATATTTTAATACACGTAGGATACTTTTACACGTGTACCTTTTCTCTTAAATGCAAATCAGAATAGGTGTTTGCACAAGGCCTGCATGAGTCACCCCTAGTTCAGCAGCCTGGCCTTATTTGCATTAAACACCAGTTGCAGTTCCTTCTGGTTATTCCCTGCATAACTCTTAAACCTGGGTAACTGCAAAATTAAATTAAATTAAATTAAATTAAATTTTAAAATAGCATACTTAACTTTTGGGTAATTAGAAGAGAGAAAAGAAAACATGGTCATTTAGGTCTTAATTATATAACTTGTTACAAAAGATAACCACAGCTTTTCCTTTTGTGTACATAGTCAGCAAAGGTGGGTTCAGAATTTATAAAGACACAAAGTAACAAATTTGCAGTACCTGATTGTGAAGTCCTCTGTTTACTGGAATTAAGGAATTTGAAAGGCCCTCTCAAATGTTAAAGCTATATATTAGTTAGCCGGGGCTGCTGTAACAGGGTACCACACACAGAGCAGCTTAACAGAAGTTTATTGTCTCACAAATCTGGAAGCCAGAAGTTCAAGATCAAGGTGTTGGCAGGGCCATCTTCCCTGTGAGGGTGCTGGAGAAGGATCTGATTCAGGATTCTCTCCTAGTTTCTGGAAGTTCCTTGGCTTGTGGCAGCATGACTCCGAGGAATTTCATTCCAGTTACCCCTTATATGTCCTTGGGCAAAGAACCAACCTCTTAATGTCACTTTCTTTACCTGTAGAACAGGGATAATAATTTGATCCTCAATAAACAAAGTAAGATAATGCGAATACATAGTGCAGAGCCTGACATGTAGAACCCATAGTTAGCTCTGTAAATGCTCACCACCAGCGTCGCAGGAAAACACAGGGAGTTTCAGAAGCCTTACATCAGAAGTATTACCATGGGTCCTTAAACTGACCAGATTTGTAGGAGAAGCTTGGACACACTCCTTTTATTTTACCTGTTCCAAATCCGAAAGCCAGAACAGATAGGATTGTTGACTGCTGGTAGGAAGCTCTGTAGATATTTCAAGCCGAATGCAAGTATTTCCAAGGGACCCATGAAATACTGACCATATGTTGCAGTAGAATCTTGGTCCAAAACTTAGAATGTGAACTCCGCTGCCTTGGAAGGGTTTGTAATCTAAGTTGAGTACTCTAAGCTGACTTGAAATACGGCACAGGAGACAGTGATTAAATATCAAATGTGGCTGTCGTCCCTTAGACTTCTCAGACCTGGAATTTGTAAAGGTGTTAACCTTCAGATGGAATGAGAGGGAAGGCTCTGTTGACCAGTCTTAGATGTTCGGGAAACCATGGTAGTATTTAGAAAAGATACCAAGTGTCCTACTCATACTTGATGTGTCAATCACCTTAGTGCCTGTTTAAGCTTTGGAACATGTTTATGTATAAATGTTTGGAAAATTTTAGGTAAAATTACATATGAAAATGTGTCGTGTGGGAATTTGAAGAGGATCTGTTTGTATTTTCAGCTGAAGTCACAGCTTTGATACAGATCACTAAGAAAAACCACTGACTTTTTTTTTTTTTTTTGAGGCAGAGTTTTGCTCTTGTCACTCAGACTGTAGTGCAGTGGTGCAATCTTGGCTCACTAAGACCTCCAGCTCCCGGGTTCAAGTGATTCTCCTGCCTCAGCCTCCTGAGTAGCTGGAATTACAGGCATGAGTCACTATGTCCAGCTAATTTTTATATTTTTAGTAGAGATGTGGTTTCACCACATTGGCCAGGCTGGTCTCAAACTCCTGACCTCAGGTTATTCCCACCTCGGCCTCCCAAAGTGCTGGGATTACAGGCATGAGCCACCGCGCCTGGCCTGAACCACTGACTTTGCAAGCTGTCTTTGTCACCGGCCCGTTTCCAGGGCACTCAAGGCCTGTTGTCCTTAGTGCTAAGTAATGGTTGGGGATCTTTGTTGGGAATCAGCAAAGGCTCTTAGAGGAGATGGTGGACCCAGACTACATTTCATGCAGGTCACCATCCTTAAGAGGGAGATGGAATCTTTTGTTTATGAACACCAGAAAGGTATAATACAAGGGACAAAACATGACAAGTTTCATCTTTTCTGCCTCGGCATGCAAACCATCCCTTCTGAGCTCAGAGGACCTCCGGATGAAACAAACCCTCTTCCATGCTACCACTTTTGTTTTTGTAATTATTTGCAAACAGACAGAATGATACTAAAAAATTATAGGTGTCTGGGTACAGTAGCTGGGCATGGTGGCTCACACCTGTATTCCCAGCACTTTGGGAGGCTGAAGCAGGTGTAACACTTGAGGTCAGGAGCTTGAGACCAGCCTGGCCAACATGGTGAAAACCTGTCTCTACTAAAAATGCAAAAATTAGCTGGGCATGATGGCGTGTGCCTGTAATCCCAGCTACTCAGGAGGCTGGATAGAATTGCTTGAACCAAGGAGGTGGAGCTTGCAGTGAGCAGAGATCACACCACTACACTCCAGCCTGGGTGACAAAGTGAGACTCTGTCTCAAAAGAAAAGAAAAGTATCAGTGGGCATAATCCTAATAGCCTGATCCAACTTTTCTCCCCCTTTGAACAGCAGTGATAAATCATAAGAGATTTGGGGACAAACAGACCTGGCTGAAACCTCAGCATACTGGAGAAGTAAGTCATCTAAACTCCCTAAGCTCACAACATGAGGATAATCCTTTCCTTTTGTGTGTGTGGTAAAAATTGCACAAAATGTACTCAGTATATAAGCAATTGCTCAGCAGTGTTTGGATATGGGGAGTGGATAGCTGTTATTAATTGCTGATTATTTTGGAAGGAAAAACACACAGGGAGTTATGTATCTTTCAGTACAAATGTTCTAAAAACAAATGTATTATTGACAAAGCTGCAGTTACGGAACACAATTCTGATGTCTGCCTCATCCCTTTGGTTAATACTGTAAAACATTTCCTATGTTTCATCCCATAGTGTTTGTTATGAAAAATAGCTGTTATCTTAAATAGCTATACTAAAACATAAAAAATTGTAGGTCAGGCATGGTGGCTCATGCATATAATCCCAACACCTTGGGAGGCTGAGGTGGAAGGATTGCTTGAGGCCAGGAGTTTGGCAGCAGCCTGGGCAACGTAGTGAAACCTCGTCTTTACAAAATTTTTTTCAAAATATAAGCCAGTTGTGGTGTCATATGTCTGGGGTCCCAGCTACTTGGGAGGCTGAGGTGAGATGATCACTGGAGCCCAGAAGATTGAGGCTGCATTGAGCCATGATTGCACCACTGCACTCTAGCCTGGGTGACAGAGCAAGACCCTGCCTCAGAAAAAAAATAATAATTATAAAACCATAACCTTCTTGGACACTCATTTGGTTTCCATTCCTGCTTTTTATAACTAGAGATGCCAATCAAGAATTTTGTGGCTGGATGTGGTGCAATCTCAGTACTTTGGGAGACTGAGGTGGGCAGATGGCCTGAGGTCAGGAGTTGAAGACCAGCCTTGCCAACATGGTGAAACCCCATCTCTACTATAAATACAAAAATTAGTCGAACATGGTGGTGCATGCCTATAAGCCCAGCTACTCGGGAGGCTGAGGCAGGAGACTTGCTTGAGCTCAGGAGGCAGAGGTTGCAGTGAGCTGAGATCGCACCACCGCTCTACTGCCTGGGTGACGAGCAATACTCTGTCTCAAAAAAAAAAATTGATTGTATAAGAATCCTTTCATTGAAGTATTCCTGTTGGAAAAGGCTCTGTAAATGAGGTGATTGGTTCAAATATATCTTTTGCGTTTTGGGTACATAAAGTGTTGCCATCAGGAATATGCATAAAATTTCAAGGCCAGCAGCAATGTGGGTGAGGACTCATTCATCTCCACTGCCGACATTGAAAACATTGAATAGTGTCAACTGAATAGGTGTAAAATGGGGTCTTATGTTTCATCAGTTTGCCATTCTTTGATTACTAGTAAGAGTAATCTTTTATTGTATCATTTTATGTGTTTATCATTTCTATTTACTTATGTGCCTCTTCTACTGCCCTTTCATTCAAACAAGCTGTTCCTAGTGAGTCTGGAGGGGGAATATAAGTTGTTGCTCTGTGTATCAAAAGTTTCGAAGTTTATATTTCGTTCCAGAAAGCTATGCTGATTCGTATGTCTTTTGGGAGTGCAATCTTTATATCAATAGCTTGGTGAGTCTTCTAACATTAAAATTAATTCAGCTCAACAGACTTACTTTACCCTAGAGGGTTTGCTTCCAGGTAGCTGTCAATTATAAAGCTCTTATGATTTTGTATTATTTAATCGTGAATACCACTTTAAAACCTAATTATAGAGTCAGTAGTAATGGGGTAAAAATGAGGCCATTGTTCCTAACAAGGATGACGCTTGAATGTAAAAATAACAATGCTTTTTTCCTGGTAACTTTCATTATTTACTATAAAAGTACATTGTGGATTTAGGGTGAGTCTCCAAAATAAACATCTGGGAAATGACAGCATTCTTACCCTATGGGAACCAGCTCCAATCTTTCATTTACATTTTTTTCTTTCATTTTCTTGACAAAGGAATGGCAGCCCCACCCTGACTTCATTTTAAGCACATTTTTCTAGCTGTTACCACCCTAATTCAGGCCTTTATTTTTCTTTTCTTTTTCTTTTTCTTTTTCACCACCCTAATTCAGGCCTTTATTTTTCTTTTCTTTTTTTTTTCTTTTTCTTTTTCTTTTTTTCTTTTTTTTGGAGACAGAGTCTCACTCTGTCACCCAGGCTGGAGCGGAATGGTGGGATCTCAGCTCCCTGCAACCTCTGCCTTCCGGGTTCAAGCGATTCTCCTGCCTCAGCCTCCCAAGTAGCTGGAACTATAGGCACATGCCACCATGCCTGGCTAATTTTTGTATTTCTAGTAGAGACAGGGTTTCACCATGTTGGCCAGACTGGTCTTCAACTCCCGACCTCAGGCAATCCACCTGCCTCGGCCTCCCAAAGTGCTAGGATTACAGGCATGAGCCACTGCATTCAGCCCCGGCCTGTATTTCTTCTTGCTATGGCTAAATTCACACACTGAGTGTTGTCGCTGCGTGTGACAATGTCGGAGGTAATAAGGTTGAACCACTTGGTGTTCCAGGTGAAGAAACTGACAAGGAGCTGCTGTTTCCAGGGTGATTTTTGAACAGCCTCCCTCCCAGGCTCTCACCTTCCCAGACATTCACAGTCTTTCCTCTGTCAGATGAGTGCTGTGCAGATCAGCTTTCTTTCCTTCGCAGACACCTTCCGTGGGCCCTCTCACTCCCTGGAATAAAGGCTTGTCAAGGCTGCATGGGCCACCTTACTTTTGGAGATGACCCAAAACTACCTTTCCCCAGCTCTGCTCTTTCCTGCAGATCTCCCACCTGCGCTGGTGCTGGGCCTTTCCACGGCACTTACCTGCCTCAGAGTTTTTTTGGTTTCTTAACATCTCTCTCCTACCCACCCTAAGTTCTTGCTCACCTCTGTGACTCCCAGATTGCCCAACTCAAAAAACACCTAGGAAATAATGACTGGTGTCACTGCACTCTTCAGTTGCATACATTGGGAAGCATTTTATATTTTAGAATTCATTGCTGCAGGATAGATCTACCTGTAGACCTCAAAATTTGATTTATTTTGCTTGTCAAATTCTTCCTTTGCTTAGGGTTTTCTTGTGACTAATGATGCAGTTAGTAGGCATGGGGAAGGGAGGGAAGCAGGTGATTTTGGGAGTGGGGAGCAGGCTCTGATGCTTCCTGGGCAGAGCCTGAATTCCAGTCTGAATCCACGATGCATTCATTGTACCACAAAGAGCACAGAGCCAGGATATGTGGGGAGAGGGCCTGAATAGCTAGGATCTAAATAAACTCTGGCAAGCTTTGAACCACCTGTTTTTTCATTAGTGAAAAGGTAATGGCATTGCCTGGCAACATGCCTCAGCATAATTCCATGACAATTGCATGAGACAATCTGTATGAAAAAT